TCTTATCTTGTATCTTTCAGGTACAACAATGAGAGAGATGCAGCAAACACACCAAGTTAGGGCGACAGCTGGATCAGTCTTTCGACAACTTTGAGCCATCAGGTCCGGTCCACGTAAACAGTATCATGGGCGAGAGGTGTTCGTGTTCCTGTCACCAAAGCACCAAAGTAAGTACATTTTCTTTTCTATTCAATTATTACAACAGGTTAGTTCCTCTGTTTTCAGGTTCCCTTTCAGCTTGGAGATGAGGAGCCCGATGACCAACGACACAACCAAGACAACAGCTGCGTTCCTGCTACCTAAGTTAAGTATTCCTTCCTGGTTTTGCATAGGGATGGGGGGCGCCTCCCAGTTTGATATTTACTTGTGGACTTTTGTTGGCCGACCCATATTTTTGGTGGAGAAACTTGGACTCTAAGGTAAAGTGGGAGGGGGGTGGTTGGGTTTCCGGGGGGATAGAGTTCATGTTTCAAAATCAAAAATATGGAAGTCTACTGGTTTATATCAAATTGGGAGAAATAAATTTTATCTTTTGTAATATTCTGTAAATTTTTAGTAGTGTAGTGTAAAGTATAGTGTAAAGTTTTATTTAAAGTTTTTATGTAAAGTTTTATGTAAAATAACAACTACTACAACATGTTTTATCTATTTGTAGCACAGATGGTGAAGTCCCTGCGAAAAGATGGTCCTGTTGGAATCATTTTTTTTCCACGAGGGGACTAGGTCAAGTTTCCAGGACTTACAGTAGATGTCGCATTTTGACCAGTTTTATCTCTTGCAATCAGTTGCATCCCATTAGAAGGGGGGGGGACACCCAGTACTATTCCAGTTTTCCTGCGGAATGACAGTCCTGTTGAAATCACATTTATCTCCATTAGGGGACTAAGTTGAGTTTCAAGGACTTACCGTAGATGTTGCTTTTGACCAGTTTTCATCTCTTACAATCAGTTGCATCCCATTAGCAGGGGGGGGGACTCCCAGTACTATTTCAGTTTTCGTGCGGAAGGACAGTCCTGTTGAAATCACATTTGTCTCCATTAGGGGACTAGGTTGAGTTTCAAGGACCTACCGTACATGTCTCTCTGACCAGTTTTTATCTCTTGCAATCAATTGCATCCCATTAGCAGGGGGGGGGGACTCCCAGTACTCTTCCAGTTTTCCTGCGGAAAGACAGTCCTGTTGAAATCACATTTGTCTCCATTAGGGGACTAGGTTGAGTTTCAAGGACTTACTGTAGATGTCGCTTTTGACCAGTTTTTATCTCTTGCAATCAGTTGCATCCCATTATCAGGGGGGGGGGAACTCCCAGTACTCTTCCAGTTTTCCTGCGGAAAGACAGTCCTGTTGAAATCACATTTGTCTCCATTAGGGGACTAGGTTGGGTTTCAAGGACTTACTGTAGATGTCGCTTTTGACCAGTTTTTATCTCTTGCAATCAGTTGCATCCCATTAACAGGGGGCTGCTCCCAGTACTATTCCAGTTGTTCTTGGGGGGAAGTCAAACAACCAGACAACCAACCAACCAACTTACCGAACATCCAACCGACCAACCAATGACCCAATAGGCTTAATCTATTAACTAACTTACTTACTAACCAACAAACTAACCAACCAGACAACCACCAGACCACCCAATAGGTTAAAACTAACCAACCAACTAACTAATTAATCAACAAACTAATCAACACTCCATCCAACGAACCAAACAACCAACTAACCAGACAAGCAACGAACCAGACAAGCAACGAACCAGATGACCAAGATCATGGATCTAGTGCTTAGTATTGTATTGTATTGTATTGTATAGTTTTGTATTGTTTTGTTTTGTATTGTATTGTATTTCGTTGACCAGTACTTACTCAGTAATGATTCAATTTTAAAGTTGACTTCAAGTACTACTCCAGATCTAAATTTTGAAGGTCTGAAGTCTTGTGTTCATTTTAGCTACAGTTGTAGATTGAAGGGTCTTTTCTTTTGGGTTTTCATGTTAAAATTGTGAGCTTAGTTTCGGGGTTTCTTTCTTTTTAATTGAACCATCGCTGATCTTTTCCTTAAATGTACTTTCAGGTGCAGTCCTCTTGCCTTGGAGAGAACAAAAAGAACCACAAAGGGAAAACCACAGAGAATCTACAATTTGTTCTACCTACCTGCAGCATTTGTGATCTACATACCTCTTGCCTTGGAGAGAACAAAAAGAAACACAAAAGGAAAACCACAGAGAATCTGCAATTTGTGCTACCTATCTGCAGCATTTATATCTACATACTATCTTGTTAACTCCTCTTACATGTACCTTGGAAACAACATTTGTGCTACATGTCTGGAGCATCTACATGTATAAACTATCTCGTCACTCACTGCTTTAATGAACCAATAGATGACTGTGTACATGCTAAGAGTCTATAGAATTTAAATTGTATCAATATTCGACATGCTAAATCTGTTCAATATATTTTACACATTGACATCTGTAGCAGACAGCATAAATCATCCATGGGACTTGATACATAGTTCTAAACTAGTTGGTCGATTTTGTTGAGTAAATAACTTATATTAATGCTATTCTTGGAATAAAAATGTTTTACTATGTTTATTACTATGTTCGAATATAAAATTTATTTATAGCTATGGCCTTCTTGTGTGCTATTATTCCTTAATGTTTTGCTGTGAATGTCAAATGCAAAAATTTACAAATATGTGCAAAATCTATATTGATAATTGAATCAAAATGGACACTACATGTATGTAAATGTATTTCTTAATCTTGGATGAATAAAATTAGTTATTTTGAATAAAGAGCTTTTATTTAATATCGATTAAATGAAAAAGTCACCTCTCATAGCACAGGGTGAGCCAAAAAAGGTTACCCAACCAAATGTAAAACTTGTTCAATGTTCTTTCATTCTACTAAGTATCCTTGATCTACTTATAGTCACGATTTTGTGGCCATTTACAAAACATGCCAGGCCCGTAGCCAGGATTTGCTAAGGGGGGGGGTTCACTTTTTGGAAAATTCCAGGGGGGGGGTTCACTTTTGACAATTTGGGTCCAAAAAGGGCCAAAATCACTTAAAAAGTGCTCAGAATGGTGAAAAACTGCATGATTTTGAAAGAACTTTTGGCCAGGGGGGGGGGGGGGTTCACCCGAACCATGCGAACCCCCCCCCTGGCTACGGGCCTGCATGCTCAGAATGCTGAAATGTGCCTCACTGCCTCTCTGACTGGTCATAAATCCCACCAGATTTTTTCTGTAGGCCTACATGTATTTTCAACATTAACTATTCCTTTGAAACATAAAAACAAGAGATTAGAAAGAAGATGAGGGCCATAACACAAAATGTTTATGCCCGTGCTGTGAACAACTACGCCCTATACGTTCAAGTTGGCCTAAAGACACGACGCCGAATTTTTATGGCATGTTTTGTAAAATGGCCATAAAATCGTGACCACTAGAGATAGAACACTGAAACGTGTCGAATGACAATACATTGGACAAGGCCTAATATGACGCTACACCCATGTAAAAGATGACATGAATGATGGATTTCACTTAAGATTATATTATTGTGTACTCTAGAAATTGTTATATTTTCTTCAAAAATATGCCAAATAGTACAGTTTCCATATAGCTTTTGAAATCTCGCTTAATCTCGTTTTCTGTGAGATTTTAAGAGATTCGTATATTAGACCTCAAATGACTTACATTACCTTCTTTTAAATGGCATATTTGAATTCAGTGAAATGTTTTCTCCTCTAATAGCTCCGATTTACACAGTTATGCAATTTGAGGAATTTTCTTTGACAATTTAAAAAACTTGGGCCAAATGTCCATAGATGCAATGGAAAAATTCTTTAAAACCTTGGAATATTTGTATGTCAACCAACATTTGCATGTTAATCACAACATGTATATAAACATGGTCATCATGTGGTATATCATTCAAGTTTTATACAGATTCAACTAACACTCTTTAATAAATCATGAAATTAAGCAACTTTTCCAAGATTTTAGCATGTAAGTGAATGAAACTCTTGCCCAAATTAAAAGCTGAATAAAAGATGGCAGCACTAGATTTCATTGCTTTTTATTCTATTTAGAAACTATCCTATTGAACTAATAACTGAACAGAATGAAGAAATAAGTCATACCATCGAATGGTATATTTATGTCAATATGTTGCGTTTTGACACATGGTTAACCCCTTTAAAGGAATAATAACTTCCTTTTGACGAAAGTGAAAAACAACATTTCCCATGTTATTTTCCCATAGGGAACACTCGTGCGATCCATTGCTTTGAGCTAATTTTGGTCAACCAAAATGGATATCTTTAATACCACTGCAGAAATTACTTGTTCCTTTAAAGGGGTTAATTTTGTGCCAAAACACAGCATATTGATGCAACATAAATTGAAAAAACAGGGGTGGAAGGGGTTGAAAATCAGGACAACATTTCAGAAAAAACATGTGGGTGGGTTGTTTGCATCTTTCCAGTCTCAAAGTCGAAATTATTTTATTATCTCTAAGAGTGCTATTCCTGGAATTAATACATTGGCCTAACATATGCACCTGCTTATATCCTCAGAAAATAGCCAAAATCCAACATATGACTGTCTTAAATCTGTTGGATCCTTTCCCTCCCCTTTTATAAACTGATACTCGGACAAATAACACATAGAAAATTCAGTACAAAAAATGTCCTTACTTTTTTGATGATACAGATCGTAAACACTTTTACCGGATCTGAAACCTTTGAAACATTTTTAACCGCCTGTGAGAAAAATGTACTCACATCCCTGATTTTTAGAGCGATTAATTAAAAAATTATTACAATTAAATAATGCTCCTTAATTTGGTGAATCTTATATCTCCCTGAGGAAAAATATAGTTTTAACCCTTTGATGTCCAAATATGTGCATTCTTTACGTTGTATGTCAATTACACTTTATAGTTTATCTTCTCTTTCAAGAAAAGTTCAGAACTAAAAAAAATTAAGGAAAAATTGATTCATGCCTCAATACATGTAAACATTTGTTTTGTTCATATAGGATTCATTGATTGAAAAAGAAAAAATACATCAAAAATTATTTCCTTGAACTTATTTTGACCTCACTTGACCTACTTTTTTGAGAATTTAATAACCTCCCTCGTCAAGTTTTGAAAATTGTAATACACATCCTCTTCAACGTCAACACCCTCAGGTGGGGGGGGGGGGGTCTGACCCTCCGTGTCCGTGTTATGAAAAATACGTTGCCCTCATTAGGGTTAATTTATCAACCTTCAACTATCATTCTACAAACCAATCAAGCGCAAACAAAGACTTGCAAAAGTACTAATACGAGAACCAAAGGGCTAAATCAACACTCAGTTGCAAACATTAAGGTTATAAATCAATGTTCTCAATGTGTTTTTAATTTGTATAATTTTCTCTGAGACTAATAGGTTTTATGTTAAGTACGTATAAACATTATGTTTTAAACATTTTGCAATTTCTAAACGAGTTGCAGATGTCATTTGTTCCGTGTCCAAGCACATTTATATGTTACATCTCTGATTCATGATATGTCAAAACATTAATCTGCATATATTTCTTCATGAGCTACACATATCCATTAACTTTTATCTTGTCAATCATCTGCGTTGGATGAGTTACATTACTCTATCGTACACTGTTGAAATGCCATTTTGGGATCTCATTTCACTTTCTGACAGCCTTCTACTGTGACCCGGTGTTGAGTTGTACGCATGGTTGACAAACAGTGGTCTGTGAGACACCATTTCCCAAGCTGCATTCTCAGCATCAACAGCTCGAGTGAAAGGTTTTTCATCATCAATTTTTCTGAAAAATAACCGACTCATTGATGCTGTAGCTCCATATCAATGTATCACTTAAGTATAAATGCATTTTTTAATTCGAATGTCGATTGATCAACAAATATTTTTGTTTTGAACTTTTCATTTGTTTTATTTCACTTTACGATAAATCTACAAGTACTAATATTTTGGATCGGGGTTTCGGGCCAAATATGATAGCCTCATTACGTGGGAAACAAATGGTTTACTTTTTCTTCCTAACGACCAAAGCGTAGATGCATAAAATGATGATGAGAATGAGTGCAACGACAGCCAAGGGAATTCCAAGGAAAAATCCAAGAGTGTTATCTCCACTTGGTGATGCCTGGGGTCGCTGTACAGTATTTCCAGTTGTTGCAGTACTTCCCTGCGTTGTCTAATAATCAGAGATTGTAAATATAACTTTCAATGTCACCACCCCACGAATCATTCTATCAAATACTAAATTAAAATACAGAGCACTATAAGAAACTTTCTTTCAGCTGCGCTAAAGCCAAATATCAAAGTATTTGAGCCAGAATTCAAAACGTTTTTGTTTGAACCACGTTTCTAAAACGTTATTGCGCCTTACTGACATGTGTTAGGTGATTAAGTATCTCTTACCGTTTCAGGAGCATCGTACAAATCCATTAAGGTAGCCGTTACGTAGTTAGACAGTTCACCAGGCTTGTTATGTTCGTTCCAAGACCGCATCACAAAGCTGTACGACATTTCGTCATCAGTCTTAGGGAACTGAATTACAATTCTGTGTTTACTAAATGCTGGTAGTGGATCTAGTGTTCCATTAACTAGGTCAGATGGATGAAGAACATATCCGTTGAGATGATTTGCAACCAGCGCCTCTATTTTGTGATGAATGAAAATTTCAAACCGGGCCACTACAAATAATAAAAAACAATTTATAAAAGCTTCAAGTTTAAATTTTAGTCGCGTTGCATTGACATCAACCATATTCATATTTATGACACTGAGTATTTTCCGACCAAGGGAACACATTTTCTAAAAACAGATATTTTCCCCATATTGATCTCGATCATTTCATTATTTTGAAGAATTTACTCGGAAAAATATGATTCAATGTCGTATCTATGGACGGAAAATACTCATTCTAAAATATATCAGTTGCCAACCACACCCATGCCTTTTTAAAACTATCTATAAAATGCAATTTTGGTCACGGAAGGGGAGGGGTCGCTAGAACCAATCTATCCCCCCTGTATTCGGGCCTGCATGTGCTATCTACATATTTGACAATTTGATTGACACGGTTCAAAGTGGACTTTGTTAATTATTCAAACTGTTTTAAAAGAGGAATATGCGTCCAAGTTCAAATCACTCGAAATCAGGGTAGATAAACCTAAGAAAAACACATTTCGTGTTTTCATTTGATCTATATCATGATCCTGTAAAAATGTCAGATTTAGCAAAATAGATAGGCGATCTCTATCTGCACACGTCTACTCATTTCGACTAAGCTATTGCCTATACTTACACGCACACACATACTTTTAAATTTATTTTATTTTGATAATGATTTAAAAACACAAATTATTATTAACACGAAATTAAAATGCTTGTTATATTCCAATCCTAGTAAAGTATAATTAAGTGCGACTATAGGGCATAACAACATGTGGCCGGTCTAATTATACTGTTTGTTTTGATAAGGCTGTGCAAAGAGATATCAAAACTCTTGACACGCTCTTTACACGCGAGGTCTTTGCACCTCTTGACACGTCTTGGAATCTCTAGATACGCGGAGTTCCTAGACTATCTTTGCACGTCTAGAAATTGCTTGGAATTTCACATTTGACGCAGTGCTAATTAAAATCATCCTTGCGGAATAAAAGAATTCTCTACACAAGTAAAGTTGGCTTAGTATCAATGTGCTAAACTGAACTTTTATTAAAGACAGCGCTTCTGTATTCATCGACCACCACACAAAGCTCGTACCAATATCATACCTTTTCCTGAAAACGCATTTCTTCCAGGAGCTGTCCACGTCAAAGTGACTGTTCTGTTTCCAATAGAGATTCTCTCAACGGAAAGGTCCTCAACTCTCCCTAGATCATATTCCCCTTTTCTGCCAGAATTTCTTACTTTGAAAGAACCACCAGATGCTTCTCTTTGGAAGTTTCCAATGCTCTCGTGCCATTCATTCTCGTTTTCTGAAACCAAAATTCCTATTAATATAATTTTATTCATGTAATGCATTCTCATGAAATCAGACATTTTCCACATGACATCTTCAGTAACAAGACTCTTTTATATTATTTTCTCAATAAATAATTGCACGCATGGAAAACATTGACATATTGTTTGAAAATTGAAACTAATGTATTATTTCCTGCCACTTAATCCCAAACACCCAGTCTCAACCAATATATCTTTATTTCATGTCTTTAACCAAAATCAAAAAGCGTTATCCTCATTTATGAAACATATTCGATCATGTTTGTCCTCATATTATACACGATTATTTACCCTGAAGCTGCTACAAGACAGGCCTCCTTATTCACGACGTTCAACTGACATATTTCTTGTTTATAATGTTTTAGATTTTTAAAATGAATTTGAAAATGGACGAAATGGTATAAATGTTTGATGTTAGTTTTAAAAGTTATATTTGTGATATTTGAATCTTGAATTGATTCTACATTAAAGGGGCAACAAGGACTCTAAAGAGAAAATTAGTTTTTTTTAATTTTTTTGAGCTATCAGGTCATTATTTGGCTTAACATCTTCTTTGACATACATGTACCTTATTTCTTAAAATGTATGGATAAACTATCAATTTCAGCATTAAGAAGTGTAAATTCAGTTCAAAGCTTCTATCAAGGGACTTCCGCTTATAGATTTTTAAGATCAACCACGTTTCAAGAGGAATATCAGCTGAAATAATGTTCATCCAGGGGGTTTCTTTGTAGATAATAATTATAGTCTAGCTTGATGAAATACCCAAACTTAAATATATTTTACACTGATGGGTGATCGTTGAATGGCCCCCTGCACTAATTGTTGCACCTTTAACTACTCTCAACGGTCCACGTTGTTATAGTTCTAAAAGATATCAAAGAGGTGATATTCACCATGTAATTGGTCATACGCAGGGCTTCCAGATGACCTAGAATGATGAAGTAACACCGCAGTTCCGTTTGGGTTACTAGCTTTCACTGTAACAGCATAGCGGTCATCACCATTTACGTCGGTGAAGAAATTTGAGTAGACCCCGTCATCTTTGAAGTTATCGCTACCTGTAGAACAGGAAGGAGAAGTTCATTTTTATATTTACTTATTCTTTTCAAATGTCAATTATTTGGCAAATGTGTATTGTAATGATCCATGAACACGAAGAACGTAACATGATTTGTACACGAAATAAACGTTCTAATGTTATTATAATTGAAATCCTAAAAACCTGTTCAAATGAATAAAGAAATTTTAATGAAGAGGCCTTTTATTTTGATTAGTGAAAAATTGGCTGAAACAGACTTTCAAAATGCATTAAAGTTGCATTACCTATACCGTTGTCATAAAGTAATATATCTTTGAAATGTCGTCCTGGTAGTTCAATAGTTGCTTCTACATGGGCTCTGATGACTGGAGAATAACCCTGTGCTAGTTCAGCATATACAATAGCAGTATCAGTTGGGACATTCACTTGTAGTTTGTTAACCCAAGATCTCATCGTAATTCCACTAGACCTTGTCGTGGGAGTCGATCGTATGTTAACTCCAACATAACCATCTACCATTAGATTTTGGATTGTATATTGCCAATATCCACTCTGAGGAAAACACAAGAACTTAATTGTTAGGGGAATGTTAAGCGTTAACACACTGCGTTATTTTTATTCCAGGTATGAAAGATGAAGATAAGGAAGGGTGAATCTAAGTGTTGTGTCGCGATGGAAAATACTTGATGATAATTTGATATATTAAAATACAACTATGGTAAAAAATGATACAACCTTCACATTTGGAATAGCTTTCTCAATTATAACGAAATGTTCTTGAATTATTTCACGTGTATCTAGACGGAGAGTTAAATACGTGAAACATTGGCTTCGCTATCCTTAACAATATGAACGTTAGATGGAAACTCCTAATCACCTACCTCAGATACACCAGGAATGAAAATTCGTATCACAACAAAGTGTTGATGCTCTGTATATTCAGGATGTCTTACTGTGTAAATTCTCGCGCTCGGGCTTGTAACCTGGATCTGAGATAAAAAAAAAAGAATATTTAGAAGTGAATTCACTTGCACTAGATCGATGATTTATGTCGAACGTATCAAATAACACAATTGATAGATCATGGCATCATCTGACCACCAAATTCGAAAATAGTGGATCAAATGCAATTGCTTTTCGATTAAAGGAGACATTACCACTATAGTCCCTGTATTTCTAATGCTAGGAGGAGGAGTAAACATGAATGTCGTATCTCGCCGAAGAGAATGGTCTACGAAAATGGATTGCTGTGTGGGCCTCGACGTCCGAACGTGCATCTTCTCGCTTCTTATCTGTAATATGAAGTTCAAAATAATGATGTTTTGTCCCAGGGTTTGATAATAACAGTACAATATAACTTTATTTTTCCTAAAGGAGCGGACTTTTTGCTTGCTCGGCTAACAGTGTTTGTTGAAAGTCATGTTTATTCGGCATAAAAATGACATAATCTTTACAACCTCAACTGGCTGTGTCCCTTGGCAGTTCGTAGTGTCGCCCAATGAGCTGACAAATGAATCGTCCAAAGCAGTAGAACGAGGGTCCTCGGAATAGAAAAATGCTCTACCACCTAGGCAAAATGAATGAACTGAATGAGGAACAAACATATACGTAGATCTAATTATTTTATTTATCATAACTGATTTTATTCGTGGTAGTTGCAGACGTTGGCATCGGATGATCTGGGGGGCCAGTGATTAGGGGGTGAATCGATGGACACTCTCCTTTAAATATTTGACTGTCTAGTAAGATCTAAGGCATGGAGCCCCATCTCGTTGGAAAGTGTAATGATCCAAATATCAGGGATAAGTCTTCTGTGTAGGACATATTGATTCACCTCCCTAATTACTGACACGAAGATCACCTTAAACCAATGTCTGCCTGCGACTACCACGTATGGGGAGAACTAATAGAGTTGGTGTATCACAACTCCTTAGATCTATTCACAGTCCCTTAAGTACGTATTTGTTGAGAAGTAAAATTCATTATTTCAAAAGCATATCAAAGATGTTATCGACCTGCCACGATTGGGGGACATAATTGATCAAAATGGTGGACATATAAATTATTGAATATCTATTTATATTGACAAAAAACTTTTGAAGTGAAAATGACGTCATTTGTTTTATGGACGCTGGTTGACAGGTATTATACCTCGTGAAACCCGAAATGAAATAAAAAGAAAAAAATGGATATGCAATATATAATGTAAATAGATATGTACTTTGACTCTATTCTCAATATTTCATGAAATTCTTTAATCCAAACCTCTCTGTTACGAATGGTCAAAAATTGATGTCAAATTGATGAATTTGAATACATTGGTAGGTCATTTATGCACGTTGTTTGGTGATATATCAAACCTTATACAGTATATCAGTTTCTACCTTGAAGCGGAACTATACTAAAATAGTAGTATCTTACCTGTCCTACTCGCCAATCGTTCAAGACTCTGTGCAGCACTATTACTAAATGCAATGATATCGGCTGTTATGCCAGTGTTGTAAAATACGCCTGATGCCAAGACTACATCTATGGTATTTCCTCCAGGATTCTCTCCACCGTCTGACATCACTAGAATCTTTGCACCAGCAGTAGAAACACTATTATACTTTAACATCTACAAAACATGCAATTACTTATAGCAAAATGCTATTTTGTCCATCACTTTAAAGCAGTGTGCATCCTTTATAGGTAAACCTGAAATCCATCCATTTGAGACTTTGTATTTCAAGATTTGGTTTTTATGTTCTAGAATCCCAAGATTTTTATAAAAAGTCAACCTTTTTCTCAGTCAATAGTGAGGCAAAAACTTCAATTATTCCAGGATCACTAGGTCTACTCCAGAGCTTTTTACATAAATTGTATTACCTCCTTTTATTGCATATTCAAAAGTTTTATCAAAAATTGAATGAAGACAGCTTATAATTTTGCCCCCTGACGTACCCACTTTTTGCTAATGATTGAGTTTTATAATAGATATTTGTATTAATCTTTGTTAAATTATTAATTTATGTTATTTTTATGTTTGTCATGTACAAAAATAAAAATATCAAATTTTAATACTGAGAGGAAATAACAGGGGGTGTCCTGGGGGGGAGGAAGTGTTACCATTAAAAAGTAGACATCCTGTCGGTGTAAAATTTATATCTTTTAGGTTCATGGGGACCTACACAGCCAATATAATTCGGCACATTCGGCGCTGTTCCGGCACCGTTTCGACACCGTTCCAAAATTTGCCACCGGACTAGTCAGTCCATTTGGTGCCGAAATTTGGCACCGAAACGGCGTCGAAAATCAGATTGCATTTTGGGGTTGTACTAGACTTTCTCAAGGAACATGTAGGTGTAAGAAGAAAAAACGTAATCATATAATTTTGTTTCCCGAGCTTACGTCCAATGCCAATAGGACCCCCTCTCCAATTTCAGTAGACCCCCCTGTTGATGTAGGCAACCCTGCAACCAAACTCTCACGATCATGTATATCACGAATCTGCTGCATGTGATGCCCTATGGCGGCATTAGTATCAAACACAACAATACCAAGCTCCACTCCATCAGGCGCCGTGCTGATGATGAATTTGTAGGCGGCCTGGGCCAGTACAAACAGTCTGTTGCCACCCTTAAAATAAAAACAAAAAGCGTGCAATTATATTCAAGAAAAAATTAAACAATGCGATAAGAGCCATATTTTACCACCGACGTAAACTACGCAGCTTAAAGTTTGCATCGTTTATTACATAAAGGCTTTGTCCAAAAGGGAAGAGGTGCACAAGAACATTATTTTTAGAAATCAGTGAAGACTTTGCAAATCATATAATGTGCCATTTCGATAGCTTGAGATCTTCTCCTCACATATTCCACACTTGTTATTGCTTGTATATTAAACCAAGAGTGACCAGGATGAAAGAATGATAAACAAATGTCCGATATGAAGGACCATAATTACCATACTTCCTGATCTGTCCAATACTAAAACCATTCGTTTACATGCGCCAGAATTCCTTCTTTTTACAACTTGTATATCCGGAGTCAGATCAAAAATGTCTCTTGGGGGATTGTTATTCCCAGCGAAATCATTGTGTTCCAAAATGACATCCCACGTGCCTCGTTTATTACACTTCCTATTTTGCATATTCGGAGCCAATATGTTGTGTTGAAGATCCGGATCTGTTGAACTCGTTTCACAAAACGTTACGACCTGTTCAAGCAAATGCACAAATATTCCAACAGAAATTTTCAACAGAACTTTTATATCTCTCAAAAATGTTCTAAGAAATAGCCTAAATGACAAAAACTTTACTGTACTGTACTTTTGAGAATTTGGAGTTTTTGAGTACTTTAATATGGACAACATGGTATTTGCGCATACCGAATCGAGAAACTGCATATGCATTACAGAGGCCTTTGTGGTCTGGTTAGGATCAGGAATGAACCTACAGTCGGCCTCTGGTAGACCAGTGTAAGGCATACGTCGACATCGACCTTTGGTGGTTTTATGTATGAAAATGCCTACAAGTGGTGCGAAGAAATTTTATTTTACTGTTCTTTTAATTTTCATTTAAAAATTCAAATTTTCCACTATTCTTCCAATTTCGTGTGTTCTTTATTTTACAGTGCTATTTTGTATTATGGTTGGATGTGAATCGCGGTATATAATGCAGTATGATCTGAATTTTTTGACACTAACTCTTATCCACCTGCTTTGTTCTCTTAATGTTAAGACTATGAATAAAAAATATACCGTTTATTTTATCAGTGCATCCTGTAGCTGCTGGTTTTCCGTTTGCCCCAATATAAAACGGTGGTGCCTTTGTGCTGTTCTCTTCCCCATATTCATCAAACACTCCGTATCGCAAATGGGAAAACTCATGAACCAAAACACGACCTGAAATTTTTTTTATATTTCTGTTTATTTGTTTTGTTCGTTTGTATGAAAGTGGACTGAATTTTTCTTCAAAAATATTTCAATTTGATCTACATACCAGGGGGTCCGAATCTCTGATAAGTATCTTTATGAGTGTCGAGTATATAGTCGGGGGTCAAATGGCAGTAGTCGGCGGGCTCTCCACATGGGCCTAATTGCCTTGTATACGGATTGTTATTCGGGTTCCCAGTGTCCACCCGGAAGTCGGCATTGTCAAACGTTTCAAGGTTAGCATCCAGGTATTGTGGATCATCGCTCCATGTTGGTGGGACTAAGATTCCGATGCGCTTGAAATAAGCACGCCTTCTGGTCGCTTTATAAAGATACGGAGACGCACTCCTGAACATATGCTAAAATTACAATATGGCATGTCGGAGTCATTCTTACTCTCCATAGAGGATATCCTATATAATATATGAACGATATGGTTTTTAACTACCAATGGATACTGATGATAATAGTACAATAACGTCATTTCTAAGGGCGATATAGTGAAATATTGGACCGAGGGCCGAAGGCCCAAGGTCCAATATTTCACTATATTGCTCGCAGAAATGACGTTATTAGTATTATTACCACCGTTAACGACCAGGACTGAAACAGCAAGAAAATCTTACGCATTGGACGATATCTAATTTCCCGGGGAAAATTGCCGGTCAAGAATATATTCTAGACCGGTCCATATGGACCACCACTATGACGTCACACATTTCTCAGGTCGATATAGTAAAATAAACGCCTTCTAAACTAGCACTAAAACCCCTAGAACTGGCCCGGCAAGGTGGTAATAATGTATCTGCACGAGCGAACATAACGGGAGAATACAGATATCAATATTGTGAAGTTATTGTTGAGCTATTACTTTGTAAAAACATCAATTCTTAATGGCAACATTTAAAAACATACTATGACGAATTTTTAGCTTTAAGAAAACATGTGAAGAAAGTCGAAAACAGACTGGATTGTAAACTAAATGTAAATGAAAAATGCAATTATATATATTTTATATTGGGTTGAAAATAATAGCAAACTAAAGGCAAATATTTTTGGGCCTTATTTTACCAACGTAAATAATATTTACTATTCAGTATTAACTAAATGTATCAGATGCTGGCACAGTTTTGCCGGAAGTTTGCAAGAAGTAACTTTTGGCAATGCAGTATGTTAGAGTAACCTAGTAGGTGTAAGAAAATATAAGGTGATGGCCTTTAAAGTGGTAAAAACAATTTTCACGGCCGAATTGGACTTCAATTCCTGCGATTTCAGGGGGTACTATAAGACTATTTCATAACATAAAGGATATAGTTGCTATTGTTCTGCTTTCTACAGCACACATTATTAGTCCAAAGATGAATAATATCCTAAAGTTATAGGCCGATATCTGTATTAGTCTCAGAAATATTGCAATTAATAGGAAAAAAATACGTAATTTTAGTCATTTTTAAGTCTCACGTATCTTATATTTGTAGCTTCCAGCAAAAGATGGCAGCTTAAATAGCTCAAAATTGTTTTCTAAAAACTAATTCAAGCTTTGTTTGATATTGTAATACAATTATAATAATGATAATGTACTATTTATGATTTTTAATATGACTTTATAGTACCCTACCCCTGGAAAGTGGGCGTGGTCAATGTTATCATTTTGCAGCATACAATTAAAAACTTGTATTGATAGAAAGCAAATCAATGCATATAAAACATCTTCACTTGTTACTTGACAATATAATTCATTTATTATTAAAATATAGGACTCTACATATTTTATATATACAATTTCAATTTTGTACAATATATCATAATGAAATCTAATAGGCTGTTTCAATTTACAAACTTTTTTTTGGATCACCCCTACCTTTTGACAAAATGATCTACTACATGACCAATAGCCACAAAAAATAGCAGAACTGATCAACGTTTAAACCCCCCCCCCTACCCCTATGTTTGTTTTGTATGGGGTCCGCCACAATGTAACAAGTCCATTTTCATTGCTTACTATCACATGGAATATAGGTCACAATGTTTCCACAATATCTGGGCAATGAGATAGTGCCATTAAGAATATGTATGCCCAGATTCAAGATCATGGTGTAAATGCTTGCCGATCTATCGGCTTTCAAAAATGAGGAAAGCTGTCTTGAGTGCCGTTTCAACTAATTTTGAATTAAAACTGCTACTTATGAACTTTTTTCTCAACAACTGTGATTTGGTTAGAGTCCAAACACAGGATATCAAGACATAGTGCTACCAAATTCTGGTATTGAAAATTTCAGAGCTCTAGATCAAGTATTCATATCTGCATGGACTCTTAAAAGACCCAAAAGACACAAAATGCAGTCAGATATCGCGAAAAAATGTGACAAAATACACTATTCAGAACAATTTATCTCTTTAATTTTACTTTTATTTACCATAATTTCTGATTCTGCCTCTAGTTAGTAATACCAATAATACATATGAGTAGACTTAAGGTCATAGTAAGTGTAGTTACAGATTTATTAGCATCTAAAAATGGGAGAAGCAGTGTAGCAAGTGCAATTTTCACCTATAATTCATAATATTAAACTGCAACTTTCAGGATTTCCTTCTCTAAAACAAGAATTCCCTGAGACCCCAAAAGACAGGATTCCATATCACTGTACCACCAAATATACATGAGAGTAGTTTCAGGAGGTTATATCAAATAATCATTGAACCATTGACACCTAAAAATATGCAAAATACAGTCAAAAATGGTGAAATTGTGATTGTGAAAAAATGTATGTATTCTTAACAATTTTTAAACTAAACTGTATTTTATTTAGAACTGAAACTTGAAGTGCTTACTAGGAGTTACATCTAGTTATTATTTATTAAGTGACTTCAGCATCAGGATTGATATAATATAGGAATATCCTATGGTTTTGAAAAAATATCATTTATATCCATGAGTGGATATTGATATAAATCATAATCAGCGAAAAAATGTGAAAAATATAATTCGAGAAAAAATTTGAAAAAATAATTGAAAAAAAATTGTGAAAAAATGTTGAAATTTTTTTAAATATTTTTTAAAATAATTAAAAAATGTAAAAATAATTTTTTTTTGAAAAAATTCGAAACCATGGAACATCAGTGATATTCGATAGTTTAAAAGTGATATTCGATGGTTTGTGAATTTTTTGCTTAAATATTATAACTTGATCCACATATCAAATATATCTTCATGTGATATTCGATCTATATCCTTGCAACCATGGGATAATCACTGATATGCTTAAGACCAAAAAACCTATAAAGAATGTTATTATTGAATACTGAGAATACATTGTTTTTACATTACGGAGCTTTATTTCTACCTGAAAGTATTTTGGAACATATCTCTTGCTTAAATATTTCATGCAATGTTACTTTCAAAAACTTTCTTAGAACAATTAGTCCATCCTATACTTTCACATGTTATTCTCCATTTCGTTTTTAAAAATTGTGGGAGCTTTAAACTCTAGAAGAGCTTAATTACCAATTATACCATGCACCCTCTTTGCCCTCCGTCGCATTTTTCTTAGAATGGCCAGGCATATTTCAAATTGAAGAGTAAAGTCTGTTAAAGTGATATATAGCTGTATATAACAACGTATCTTTCACTTGATACTGTGATGTCAAGCTTAAGCATTCAAACAGTGTATTTTGTCCCAAGATACAATAAGGTACTGATTTCATTTATTTATCAATTCAGATGCCTTGGAATTAAAGTAAACACTTGGTATATATTACCAATATTATTTTTACCTATTATTGGTGGTACAATGACCAGGTTTCCTTTAATGTCTTTGGTCTTACTGTGCAGTTTGTAAAAAGAAAATTCAGAAAGTTGCAGTCTTAGATGATAAACTGGTGAAAATCATACTTGCTACAGCTTTTCCCATTTTCAGAAGCCAATAGATCTGTACTTCCACTTACTATGACGTTAAGTCTTCTCATATGTATTATTGGTGGTACTAACTGGAGGCAGAATCAGAAATTATGTCAAATAAAAGTAACATTTAAGAGATAAGTTGTTCTGAATAGTGCATCTTTCATATTTTTCACGATATCCGACAGGTTTTTGTCCTTTTGCCTCTTTTTAAAAGTACATGCAGAAGTGAATATTTGATCTAGAGCTCTGAAACTTCCAATATCAGAAATTGGTAGCATTATGTCTTGGTATCTTATGTTTGGGGTCTAAAAAAGTCACAGATGTTGAGAAAAATATTCATTAAGCAGCAGTTTCAGTTCAAAGTTAGTTAAAACTGCACTAACGACAGCTTTCTCTATTTTTGAACGCCGATAGATCGGTAAGTATTAGTATTAGGACCTTGAAACTGCTCATATTATGTAGTCTTTGTGGTACTTTCTCATTGCAAAGGTAATTTGGAAACACTGTGACTTACATTTCATGCGTTAGTGAACACTGAAAATGAACCAGCCTATTAGATTTCATCATGATACATTGTACAAAATTGAAAACGTATATATAAAATATGTAGAGTCCTATATTTTAGAAATGAATGAATTACAATGTCAAGTAACAAGTGAAAATGTTAAAAATGCATTGATTTGCTTTCTATCAATATAAGTTTTTAATTGTATGCTGCAAAATGATAACATTGACCACGCCCACTTTCCAGGGGTAGGGTACTATAAAGTCATATTAAAAATCATAAATAGTACATTATCATTATTATAATTGTATTACAATATCAAACAAAGCTTGAATTAGTTTTTAGAAAACAATTTTGAGCTATTTAAGCTGCCATCTTTTGCTGGAAGCTACAAATATAAGATACGTGAGACTTAAAAATGACTAAAATTGCATATTTTTTTCCTATTAATTGCAATATTTCTGAGACTAATACAGATATCGGCCTATAACTTTAGGATATTATTCATCTTTGGACTAGTAATGTGAGCTGTAGAAAGCAGAACAATAGCAACTATATCCTTTATGTTATGAAATAGTCTTATAGTACCCCCTGAAATCGCAGGAATTGAAGTCCAATTCGGCCGTGAAAATTGTTTTTACCACTTTAAAGGCAATCACCTTATATTTTCTTACACCTACTAGGTTACTCTAACATACTGCATTGCCAAAAGTTACTTCTTGCAAACTTCCGGCAAAACTGTGCCAGCATCTGATACAAAATGTATGTCCAGTGTATTTGAAACTCTAATTCACATATGTACTAGACAATATCTTTGTCATTATTACCCACATCTTTGTCATCCTTATCCATATCATCTATAGTATTACTTTTATATCTTCCCTTTATATGTTTGTGATCTATATGACTTATGTATTCCTTGCATGTCAATACGTTTGGCAAATAAAGTTTTTATAATATGATAATAATAATGATAAAAAAACATGCATGTTCTCTGCTTACCTTCAACCTCTCAATAATTACTGGATTTTCAGGAACATTTTTGCCAATTGCAACAACGATATTTAAATAACCATTGTTTTCTATTTCAATCAACGAACTTTTCCCTGCTTCGCAATTCACAAATATTGTTACCAGAAGCACAATTTGAAAATAGTTCGTCCACATAATTTGAAAATTAGTAACTGTCTGAAGCAGATTGTCCAGACTTCAAGACTTCAACTGATAATCTTTTGAACAGCATTGCGTATTTATATAAACATATGACTGATAATCATTATGATAAATAGCCGACTCTTAGAAGGAAGTGAAAGGTGATTCGAAATAATCTAACTTCTACACTTTGCGCTTATAAACTGGTGACCAGGACATATTTACAAGTTGAGACGATTTAGAACTACCCTTAGTAATTTATAATAACAAATATTTCAAACTCACTTGTTTTAGCTAGAATCAGAGTAGCGTTACACTGTTCACAAATTTTCATTTGATGTTCGCCTATATACAATGCACAGCCTGAGAGATACAGCACGTTTCTATTTTCATGCTTTTTCGATTGGGATTGAAGAGTGAATCAGATCAAATCTTGCCATAATTAAGAAAAGTGGAATCGCTGAAACCATGAGTCCTTTCATACAGAATCCATTCATTGATGATTTCATTTTATGATGATGCACAGTTTTACATGTCTCGGGGTCCCTTGAATTATCCGCCTACAATTTAGCTAGGGATTGGTGATCCCCTGGTAGGTAAAGTTTGTTTTAGGCCACAAAGTAAAGTTTCTTTATCATGCAGAATTTTTACTCTTTTAAAAGCTTTAAAATATTTGAGCATGTACCTAGCTAGAATCAAATATTCAACATGTCAAAAATCGTCTTGCTGAGTTTGAGAAAAGGGTTATACAATGCTAAATTATCATTTTAGGCTAATATACGGGTGTAAGTGGTGGATCATCTCACCTGCCACATTATGTAAGACTAATTATAAGCTATTTTGATAAAGATTGAGAGCTTAATATGTATTTTTAATTTTTAAAGGATATAATAATAATGTATAATTTGGTGCAGGTTTGTACTATCTTTATTTCTAGACTTTACTATAACTGTCGGCTCTAATTGCAGACTCTTGTGGGAAAGATGTTGAATTGCTGATTGTGTGGCAAACATTATTAAAATCAATTACTGTTGATTTAGAGGTTATATGAATAATTGGTTCTAAAAGCCTACATGTATCATACATGTATGCTAAACATGTACTGTGTATCTACTCAAAAACAACGATGAGATATATCAAATCTAATTGATTGCCTCCCATTGAGTGTGAGCACTTAAAATTTTTAAGAAATTCATGAGTGACAAGCATGATATCATTGGGATGTCCATAAACGGTGAAAGAAAAGTCGACCTATAGGTCCTGAGAAATGATATTCTAGAAGCTAAATATATGGTAGTTCTTAAAAGGAACTTATTTTCTACTGGTACACGTCATACAAGTGTTTTAGATGACCATATGTATCTTTAAAAGATATGACTATTACAAATCATATGCCCAATAACCCAGATGCGAGTAGAAATAATCTTGATTTACGTCATTAAAAATTCAAAATTCAGTCAAAGTAATATCATATTTGAAATCTACATGTAAAATTACATCTAGAAATGTGGTTTTAAAAAGTGTTTATCAACTTTGAAAAATTACTTTTCTTCGAATATGTGACTTCTAGCTCGGGGAGATTCCCCATAGACCCCATGCTATAAAATCACAAAAAATGAAATATCTTTTCTTTTAGTGGACAGATAATATTTTGCTTTACTGGACATATTTTCATTAGTATAAGTATTAGACACATAAGGGTTATATGAACATTGAGCCACTTAAATTGATAATATTCAAGTTTAAGGGAACTTTCTTATATACCTGCCATGTTAATTGACCCGAATCAGCCACCTGGTGGTGAAACTGGTAACTACCTACTCGCATTTGGGTAATTACATAGTATTACATCTTCTGGGGTGGCGGGTTGATATCTTCATAAATATTGCCAACGATCGCTCTGTACAGACTGTACTATACGAAAATAAGCGGTGTGGATATCATGTGCGTCATTTTTGATATTTAAGTGGAAAACAATATATATGTTATTTTCCTATAGGGAAAACTCATGCGATCCATTGCTTTCAGTTTAATTTTGGTCACCCATAATGGATATCTTTAAAACCCCTGAAGGAATTACTTATTCCTTTACAGGGGTTGGAAGGGGCGGAACACGTCACATGGGGGGGGGGGGGGTTAGATCCGTGGAAAAAAGTGATGGCTGTGGAATATTCACCGTAGTCAACTAACAGATATCACCATTTCCACGCATTTGGAAAATATTATAAATATTTGTACATGTTAGCATATAGATTTATCTCACTAAAGGTGAAATTCTGCATGACGAGTTGGAACTCCTGGGAATTCAAAACTATTGGTCCAAGGTTGGTACCATCTGGGAAAACTAAAAATTTTAGAATGTGTTCAGGTGCTGTCGTCTCGGTAGACTTGGCAACCACAAAAGTAATAAACACTATACAATTATTACGTTGCAAAAATAATTGGTTTCAATGACGTCAGAAAAATATTTCTATAGTTACAATCAATAGCCCACATTTGAACAAAGCTGAAAATATAATGAAATTGTCAAGTCAAAATGAACCAAGTGAACCCGGAAGAGAAAATGATGCATGAGATTGACGGCAAAGAAGTACCCAGTGGTGATAAATCGAATGATGACATTCGTTTTCAAAATGCAACTAATGACAATAATGTCGCCGCCATCAATGTTAAAGGATTGAAGGCTGAATCCGAGAATAATGAATTTGAAATTGCTGAAGCCAAGAAAAAGCGAGAAAGAGAGCCTCTCCAGGTATGCAAATGGATGGCAGAACGTACAAATATGTTCTTTGGTAAGTTATATGATTATCATTGATAATACCCGGTGTGAAAGAAATTATGGTCCCCCAGGGATTATGGCCCCCCTTTTGAAAGGCTCTTACTGGCCTTGACTGTGTATAGGATAATAAGAGAAAGAGGTCACCATATAAATCAATAGGGAGTAGGAGTCCATAAATTAATAGGAGCTCCTACTATTTTACACCGGGTCACAAATTGATAGAGGCTACAGATTTACAACTTAACCTTGATAGGCTATTTGACACGCTATCCGATGGCAACTTCCGGTTGTCAAACTTATAATGGGGAGTGTACTATTGCAAGTGATGTTAGGACTGTAAAAGTGAAATGGATTAGAAATGGAATGAAAAGTCTCGTCTCGTATTTCTTTTCTGTTATTCAGGATTATTTTGATAAGGCAAAATGTCTTTTCCCATACCATCTCCTTGACAATCTAAGGCATCTCAGGCAAGGGAAAAAATAATTTCTTAGCAAGAGGACTTTTCATAAAAATCACTGATATTGAATTTCATGATTGTATTGTCGATAATGTTGTCAATTTGTACATATATAACCTATTGATTTATAGAAATAAATGTGAAGTATGTAAAAACAAATTATTGTATTGACCTAAATATATCGTAACTATATTCTTTCCCCAATTTCAGTCGCAATTCCATTCCAATCGGGAAGTAGCCTTCATTGAGAGATAGAGCAGTGTGCATGTTATGATCAGCATGCATGTTTGAATGAGACGGGGACATGACTGACTCATTGCATCACATATTACATTTCCATTTTTCTCCCTCGAAATTCTGGTCGCCGGTTAGAAAACATACGTTCAGATAGAATTTACTAAAGACCGTGTCGTAGTTGCACATTTAATGAAGAAACAAAGCATGTTAATCAGTGCATGCATACCTTTATATGTGTCATGACATACTGACACATTGACAAGTTTAGATCTTGAATATCCCAACGAACGAAGTTCGTAGGAACAAATAAGAGAAGCTGTTCGTCCGCTCGTCCATTCGTGTGTCCCGGCGATAACTCAAATATTGGCAGACGGATTTGGTTTAAATTTTATTCACTTATGCCTTATGGGTATAGGACTTCTGATTGAAATTGTTAACATTGCCACTCAATTCAAAATGGCCACCAGTTTTCCTAAACCTGATCACTCAAATACCAGCTGACCAATTGGGTTCAAATTTTGTATGCTAATTCCTAGGTTTATATGAGTTTGGCACAAGAAGAATTTTTCAAGATGGCAACTGAATTTCAAAATAGCCGCTATTTTTCGTAAAAATCTAATGTTTGATAATTCTAATTCAATTCTTCTATGTTGATGCCTAGGGACAAAGGAGGTGTACTAACAACTTATATTCTATTTTAAAATGACTGCCATTTTTCATAGAATGTAATATTTGATAACTCAAATATCGGTTGATGGATTTGGTTTAATATTTCTACGCTTATATCTTATGGATGTAGGACCTCTGTTTAAGAATGAATTTTTAATATGGCCGCCATTTTATATATGCTGATGCCATATGGACATAGATACGGAGAAAGTTTTCCAAGGGAAGACAGAACGAAGTACTCTACTATTTCATGATTGTTTTTATCATATAATAACGGACCTCTTAAAGTCTATGATATAATGATGTCCAAAATGACACGGAAAAATATGTTTTGTTCTGCCTTTTTATAGTTTATTGCTGTTAGTTCAATTTGTATCTTAAGGGCCCCTCACATATGAACGAATCCACTTAACGCAGTCTTGCGAATCTGATAAATAAAATTTCCAATTCTGGCGATTGGGAACGTAAACATGCGAACCGAGGCGCAACTTTGCGCATGCTTCCGAAGCTGTCCGAAGGGGTCCTTACACATACGAACACCCTAATGATGTACAACGTACATATACTAATGGGGATAAATTTTACTGAAGTTCTATTCACAAGATTGTGTTTATTGGATTCGTTCGATGTGAGGGGCCTTTTACTGCATCACTACTATGCATTCGATTACTGAAAACACGTGCAAAGCTTTATTTGGTACCACCACTTATAAAATATATACACGTCGCACGATACTGGGGACAATTAGCGTAACATTATGGCGTCAAAAAAACAAAACAAAACAATGAGCAGTATAGGGCGCAAACAGCCTTACAACGTCAAAAACGACAAGCGTCACATTTTTTACAAGTTTAGTCAACCTAAAAATAAAATACTTTATCCTTATCTAATCATTACAAAATTTACAGGGTAGCAAGATCTCGAGGACAATATTTCTAAAATGTTTTTGAATTTTGAAAAACGGTCAAGAAATCCACTTGGGGCGTTAGTAAAAATTGATATGTATGGAATTTGTGGTAAAAAATCGATGCGTCACATTTTTTCAAGTCTCGAAAACCAGCTCTTATTTTGATATTATTTGCAAAATAAACAAACCGGTTATTGTTTTGTAAATTTCGCCATGACAATATTGTGCAGTTAAATTTTCTTTCAAATCAGACCTAAATTAGAAGGTTAAATGAAGGTAAACTTATTGCTCGTCCCATTCGCCTTCAAAACCTTACACAATTTTGAACATTTTAAAAGCGTTCGTATAAGATAATTTGAAATGTAGCCGTAAAGCAATTGTGACGTCATAAATGCAAATGTTCCATTGAATAAATTGTGAAATTTAAGTGGGATTTTAATCATTATTTGAAAAGTTATCTCAATTTCAACGAGCCCTGTAATCGTAAAGTGTTACGTCTTACAGCGTATTTGACGATGTCGGAGTATATTTAACTTTAAAAATGTGTTGGATCCCATCAAAATTTTGAAGGAAAAATAATTTCATTGAAATGCAAATAAAAAATACTTCAAAATGATATGTAAAACGCATAGTTGGCTTTTTAAATAAGGCAGAGATTAACGTTCAAAGCTGAGATAAGCCCGCATTTCCCGAATTGTCCCCAGGTCCGTGCACGTCATAATAGCATTAAATCTTAAATAATTAACAATACTTATACGACTTACAAAAGTTGTAACACTATTCTTATTTGATTTTTGTCACCGTTTCTTGTTCATTATCATATCCAATGACCTGCTCTCTTTCTACTGTAGAAGAAAATGCGAGGTAAAACAGCCATGCATGGACAACCGGTTTTTACATGTTTTCCTGTAATAAGATATATTATATTGTTGAAATATTCTGAAAACAATACAAGGAAGACACAAAAACAGTAAAGGTCGACCCATTACTTAATCGTTACTCGTAGTCTACGATTAAAATCTTCATGTATGTACGAATACCAGTCTTATTAAATTGCGTATCCCATATCGTTTTACTTGGAATTATTTTCAGGAATAACCCTGGGTTGCCAGATCTCCTTCTTGGTACTTACGGTTATTTTAGTCATCAGGGGGTATGACATCGTCCCCTTCAAGCTTGACAAACTGCCGTTAGATCTTATAGACGATCCTGATTTTCTGAGGGCAAAGGCCTGGAACCAACGGGGCACGTTGATGGAACGCACTCTTGAATCAGACGCCGATGCGGTTGTTCCGAACAGAACCGAATCCGGTGAAGTAGTGGAACTCTTCTACGAAGTAAGAGGTGGAAATGTCTTCACAAAAGCAAATCTACAGAGAATTAAAGATGCCGAAGATTCGTTTTATCAAAATGAAAAATTTGTCGAAGGATTCTGTAAGTTAGATATTTCAAGTGGGGAATGTGCCAAGTCCTATTCGGTTCTTAGATTCTTCGATGGTACGTATAGTGCTCTTGATCCCATTTTCAATGACCCAAATTTCGATGATATAGTCAATGTTTTAGACAAAGCCGATGCTTTGGCGACTACTAAAACAATGTTGCAAATATTCCTTGGAAAGACAGCCATCATTGACGCAACCGATAATATAGCAAGATCTGAGATAACCCGCTCCTACATGTACCTAGGGATCCCACTGCCTGGTTATGATAATTCAACCGACAGGGAGGAATCTCAAAAGGAGAAAATAAAGAGTTTCATGAAATTAACATTAGGGCCAATCCTAGAACGTGTTTCGAAAAGTGGATTGGGACCAATCGACTTCATTTATGGTAGCTCTACTTTACTAGGGCTTGGAATCGGAAGTCAGGCCATGGCCGACATGATGCTCGTGATGGCGAGTTTGGGATTCATTTTTATCTTCATGTTGATTCAAACGAGATCATTGATGGTGACTGGACTAGGGATATTCTCGATCATGACCAATTTTTGTATGGCCAATCTCATCTACCGTATTGTCTTTGACTTTATATATCTCAGTAGCTTCCATATTCTGTCCATGTTCATCATCCTCGGCATTGGAGCTGATGATATTTTTGTCTTCTATGACACCTGGAGAATAAGTTGTCAATATGAATACCTAAGCCTGGCTCATAGATTATCAGATGTCTACAGAAAGGCATCAGTTGCTATGCTGTTTACCTCACTGACGACAGCTGCTGCGTTCTTCATTGGTGCATCTTCCCCGTTACTAGCCGTGAACTCGTTTGGTTTGTTTTCTGGGATATTGGTCACCGTTAACTATATCTCAGTGGTACTATTCTTTCCTTGCGTCGTCGTGAAATATCATAAAACTTGGAAAGACTGGAGTTGGTGGTGCTGCCGATCATGTGTGACACCAGCTGGTTCAACAACAACCGATGTGCACGAGAGTGTTAATTTGGAGGGCGCAAATGATTCTAATGAGGAAATAGCATCAAATGACAAACGTGAAAATGCGATTGGAGAAAACGTTGTTGTCAAGTTTATGAGGTACGTAATATTTGGTTATCATTTTGAGCTTGAATTAGACTACGGTAATATTATTTTAAACAGCTTCCATTGAGTAACCAACCATTGATCATGAGACAAGTATCACCCTTTCCAAGGGGTTTGAAAATGCCCGTATAAGGGGTCATTTCTGAGGAATAAAGAATTACACCGTTACTATAACGTTTTAACTAGACACAAAGTGAAAGCATAGTACTGTAATTAATCGGTGAGTACTTTTGTGCACCCATTCTCTTTGATAAGAAGATTTTTGAAAACAAAATATGACTGTCTCTGCTTTTGGCTGCTAGATCACGCTTCATTAATGTATTCATGCAATAATTTATTTTGTAGTGGGCCCTACTTCAAATTCATCACCCATCGTGTCGTAAAATGGTTGGTGTTGGCTTTTTTCATAATCCAGTTTTCGACGTTTGTTTACTTTAACACCTTGCTAGAGATCAATGAGGAACAGGTAGGTGATATAATAACAACCTCGAACATATACTGTACATGTATCTTATTTGTACATGCCGTTTCGACGATTGGTACTTATTCAAAACGGCGTCGAATTCAATTGTTTTTTCGCTCATAAACGAGCTTAAATATTAGATCACCAAATTCGAAACCACAGCTATTTCGGCGTTCGTTATAATTGCCAAAGTGATATCGATTTGCTCCAAACATTGTTATACACCGGGAATATCTGTTTTAATTAAAGGTAAACATCATTCGTAATGCATTTACATCGCATAATAACCGTTTCAACACTGTTTTAATTAGAGCTAAACATCATTTTGTAATGAATTTTCATTAGAAAAACTCAGTACCGTCTCGGCACTGTTGCGGCTACAAACGGCGTCGTTTCCAACACTCTAAAAATTAGCAACGCCAAAACAACGCTTGTTTTAACAATTATTTGCAACAGATAATTAACACGTTTTAACGTTAATACTATACTAATTAACAGGTTTCGACGTTAATATCAACGTCTGTACGTCATTGTATATGCGTTTATTAACACGTCTGTGTGTTTATTTTTTAAATATTAACATGTTTAAGTGTATTTAAATTATACATTATAACGTGTTTATGTGTTTTTATGTTTAAAGTCCCCGTCTAAAGTTTGAAAATATTTTTTTATCATTCATTTACTATTTGTCAGGATTTGTCAGGATATTCAAATTTTCCGCCATTTTTCAAAAAAAGTTGAAATTTCTTAATCATCAAATATTTCTTAATGCATTTCAAAAAAGATTATCTTTTTAAAACCAATGCAAAGATTGAACAAAAGACACACTATTTCAATAATAAAATGTCATATTTAATGGGCCACTTCAATGTTTTAGCTTATCAAAAATATTTTGAAACATTAGTGATGTCACTATGGTAACAAAAACTTTTTGAAAAAAATTGAATTTTCTTTTCGATGTCAATCTTTTCTAAATATGCTAGACTTTCATAAAAAACAATGTTGATTGTCTAACCAGGTTAAAAGGAAGAATAAATTATGTTTTAGATATCATTGTACCATTGGTTTCTATGAGAACTAAAATTTTGAAATGCATTTTTCTCAGAACCATTTTCATGCACTGATAAGTTCATTTCTCGCTTGTTTATCAACCGATTTTCTTTTCGGCAAAAAACATGGGAGGATGAATGCTATGCATTGGTATGAATTGTGGCTAATTAGAAGATATGAGTGACCTCTAAAAGTTGGTTTTAAATAAATTCACAAATTTTGGAACAAAAAGTCTATCAAAATCCACTTTTTGAAATTAAAAAAAAAGTTTCACATATCACACTTTGATAACATTGGGTAAGACTACAATATAAGCCAAAGTAGTTTAAACTTTACATGGGGCCTTTAACACAAAAACGTGTTTAAGGGCTTGCAACAGATAATTAATACGAAAACGTGTTTATCTCCAACAATGTGTTAATGTTGAACACTTCTAAAACACTTAAAAGTATCCTGCCATATGGATGCAGACGAAATTGGTAATCTCTGTTTCTTCATTTTTTATGTTTTATTCAATGGTTCACTTTTGTTCTCCTATCCGTATACGTAATATATATCCGTAATACCAAGGAATGCGATCGACAACGTATTTCAACGCTTTGTGTTTATTCGGGTTGGACATCCGCCATTTTGAAATATCAACTAAGCATCTTGACATTTTTCATGTGGAAATTATGAGACACACATTTAGTGTATTTATTTTATTTTTTTATTCTTCTTTATTCAATTTTAGTACATACAAATTACACATGTAGTGACTGCCGAAGTTGAAAAACATTTAGTGTATCATTTAATATACATGTCCATCGTGTTCCTCGGTATTATTTACATAATTAAGTAGTCAACGAACAATCTGTGCGTTTGACCTTGCACCATTAAATAAGACACGAAGAAACAGAACTTACCAATTTCGTCTGCACCCTTGTGACCGGATATCGTTAGAAAAGACTGCGCATGCGCATCTCGTTATAAACGTGGGGCGTTTTTGAAGCGTTGATAGCTTAAATGCGTTTTTCAAGTGTTACAGTGTTAATAAAAGCGTTTCGAAGAAAATCCAAAACAGTTATTTAACGCTTAACACAGGAAAAACGCTTGTCAAAAACGCAGTTAAAAATTAAGTGTTAAAACGAGCAAACGCCTCGTGTTAAAAAGCTCCTGTAATTACGCACCAAAAACAAACACATTAACACGTTAACATAACAACACTCGTTTTAAGAGTGAAGTGTTTTTGAAGTTTGTCATCGCATTAGAACTGTGCCGAAACGGCGACGTTACCACAACGTAGGAACCGCAAGAAATTATATTTGCAGGCTGTTTTTGTTGCAGATCAAATTTCTAAAAGATACATCTAACTTTGGGAAGCTGTTTGACAGACGTGCGAATGCCTTTATGCCAAGCAATCAGGATCCTAATATGAAAGTGTACATCGCTTGGGGCCTAAAAAATCAAGATATGAGCGGGTGTCATAAAACCGACACAGCATGCGAAGGTGTCACTGTCTATGATAACACGTTCAACTTGAATGACGCGGGGACACAGCAAGCGTTGAAGGTAGGTAATATGTAAGATCTTAATATGTATGTTATAATGGATATTTACTCAAAATATCAAGAGACCATGTATTTGTAGCATGTTGGCTTTCTATTGCTATACCCTAGCTTAAGTTTTCATGTCACCACCAAAAGTCTCCAACTTTTTTGTGGTCGGTGTTCGGCGGTCGGCGATTGGATGTCGGTGGTAGGCGTCTGTAACAAATGGCAGGTAGTGACATTTTGTTTGTTAATGGCTTGTTAAATCCATATAATACGCTATATATTGCAGTCATTCTGTGCAAAATTGAAGAGCCTGTCGCAAGTGGACGTTGACCGATTGCGAATTAGGCGAAATATAATTACAAATGACTTGGAGGTCCAATGCTTTATAGACGATATGGAGACTTTTCTCAAGGTATTGTTAGTTTTAGAATCAAATGGGTAACGATGTTATTACTGATATGTAACGACTCTATTAATCTAAATATCTTCGATGGAATGGAATTAATTTACCTGGGACTGCCTTGAAGCCAAATTATGTTTACACGTCATAACTTTACAGTGTTTCCTAAAAGAAACAGGATCGTTTCTGAGTCTCTGTAATTTACACCATCAGCCCTGTTACTTTGGGGATTTCCCGTACAGTATATTACATCGCATTAATGATAATGAAAAACATTTCAGGCTGACGAGAGTGCGACTGTGACAATACCTCCAGCTCCGGCTGCAAACAAATATAGTTCTCCTGTTAACCTGAGTCTACCATGGGTCAAATCTAACGTTGAGGATATAATGAACGGGCTATGGACCAACAACTTTTACAATACATCCAGTCTACCCTTGACTTACAACAATTATTTTGAGGTGTCAAGATGAATTATTTTTAAATTCACTCTTATGTACAGTGCAATGGTATTTAGTTTGTGTGATATCACTTCCTATATTACCCTCCGGTTTGAACTATCTTACTTTTTAGTTACACAAGATAATATGTTGTAGTTTATTTTAAAGAATGTACAGTTGTAACAAAAGAAGAGTACATTCTTTTTTCATTGTTTTAAAGAATAGACACTTGGCAAGCTATCAAAAATCATTGTGGCACAAAAGACGGTTGCCAGTTTTTGATAGTTTCCACAGTTTAAAAAATACAGATGTACATGTACTTTTTTCTTATAGTTTATTATAATTTTGTAGATCGCACTCGACTACTGGTTATATAATGGGCTTGATTTCTCCGATCCATTACTACTTTCGGAAAATCAAATAAAATATGGAAGCCTGCTAGGAGTGAGAGAGATACCAGGAGTGACGCAACAAGAAACAATGACTGGTAAGAAGATTTACAATTGGAATCTATCTAATAGCTAAGGAGGACTGATTCCTAGCATTCTTTCGTGATACTTGACATGGAATGATTTGGTAATAATATTACTATAATGTGCATCTCCAGACCAGGATTAGAAAGGAATCTGGGTTGCAATCATTCTTAAATGATAATGCCGAGAATGATTAAAATTTGAATCTATGCGCACTTGGATATTCATGTTTAAAGAAAAAGTTATTCATCTAGAGAAATAGGTAAATGTTTAAATAAAATCGAAATGCTGCTGTTTTATGACACATGCACATGCATGCATATGACACGCGCCTTGACTACATTCCAGCTGGGGCAAATACGATATATGGGCCAAAATATGGAACAAGACTACAATACGCTGCAATCATTGTCAACACCACTCTTGTGACAACCAAATTGGGCTACCCCACTGGACTACCTGTCAGGGATGCCTGGGAGTCATTTGTTACACGGGAGGTACAGTACATAATATGGCACACGAAAATATTTTAATTTGCCACCCAACTTGGACCACCCACCCGTTATACATTTTAGCATGGACATTGTGAATTCTAACACGATATATATGATGTCAAATAACTAGAAAATAATATTTTCAATAAACCCTGATCACATTGACTTAAATTGGGCATGTCGCAGTAAATTGTACAATTTCCCTTTAGATAAAGAAGATGCCGGTCCCATTGAAAGGAGGATTCCAATGTACACCGATTGGCACAGGATGGCATTGGTTAAAGGTGCAAAGGGTGAGGATTTACAATATCTTAGATATCATCATGAAAGTAAAAAAAAAATGTCAAATAGAATTCCAAAGAATTCCAACTTGTGAAAAACATAAACTTCTCAGGCGACGGCCGTTACTTTGATTCACAATGTAAAATAGTATGAAACTTGATTGGCACAAGTTAACTTTAACTTTATAAGTCTAGACTGGCATGTTTTATACATACATCGTTGTCGTTATTTTGACATTTCAAAAGTGAGAGACAACTTACTCGCTATAGTCATTTTAGAATGTTCACCAGATCTCATTAACCATGATTTATTTATGTAGAATCTGCCTTGCCATTCATCTTAAAAGAACAGTTCATCAAAAATTCGGGTGAAAATATCAAGAGAGAACTTGCTTGTTTGACAAATAAAGACAAAGCAAGATACTCCATATTATTCACTGTGATGACATACATGTACTTAACCGAAAGATGCTCTTTCCTTTAACTCAAAGCAATTGATGCTATGCTAGAACGACAAATCACATTGGTGATACATTTAGAATGAATTTGAGTAGCCTCAAATATACACTAACAATCTTCAAACCGTAGGCTTTCATAAAGTAACGTTGAAAAAGGATTTCTAAGTTCGGAAAAAGAGGATAATTGAAATGCGTAATATTCTATCCTTTTAGAGTTTGGACTACTCTGCGACAACTGGAATTATAATTGGTCTGTGTATAGCGTTCCCAATCCTCGTCATAGCAACCAAGAACATTATAGTGGGTTTCTTTGCCACGTGTACCATCACATTGATAACGTCAGGTGTTTGTGGGATGATGCCAATAGCAGGGTGGAAGTTAGGGGTGAGTTCAACATTTTCAAGTAGAATCTCAACGCTGATGTACTGCGCATGCGTGTAGCCTTTCAGCTAAAGACAAATGTCTTATTCTACCACAAGACGTGGTGACATATTATTAAAGTCTCCAACCTTTTTTGTGGATGGCATTCAGAGGTGTGTGTTCGTCGATCGACGGTTGGTGTCGGTAGTCGGCGTCTGTAACAAATGACAGGTCCCGGTGGTGACATTTTGTATGTTAATGCCAAAAAAGATTCTTTTCTCAATGATTGGCCAGGGCAATTAATCAAATTGATATGCAAAAATATTTATATGTGGCTTTATATAAGTAATGATCAACCGGAGCTTGAATTGTAGTCTAATTTATCTCTTCTTTAGGTTTTAGAGTCTCTAAATCTGGTACTGGTCGTTGGACTTTCGGTGGACTATGTGGTCCACATGGCAGAGGGGTACAGTCGTTCGCCAAAGAGAGACCGACTAGGAAGGGTACATTCGATGTTGGAGGAAGTAGGCGTTTCTGTCATAAGTGGCTCGATTACAACTCTTGGAGCTTCGGTGTTTATGTTCTTCGCTGAAATCCTCTTCTTCACGCAGTTTGGAATTTTCATATTCTCAACTATTGGATTTTCGTTGATATACGCTTTGGGGTTCTTCACAGTTGGGTTGGTACTTTTAGGCCCACAAAATGATTTTGGATCTATTATGCCTATTGCAAGAAGACTGAAGCTAAAATTCAGCCAGTTATTTGGAGATTGTCGAAAATAAATCCTACGGAGAATGAACCACCAACTGAAACGTTCTGAAAACAAATGGTATGAATGACTCACGCTCTACAGAGTCAGTGCAATTCAATAGGCTCGATAATTTCGGTCCTGTACAGCTTGTGATTGGTTCAAAATAGTAAATGAATTAGATGACAGGGTGTTTAGGAGATTTATCTTTTTTTTAAGAAATTGAACATTTATTCAATTACGAACAGATACGATTTTTAGGAATTAAAATCAAATACGTTTATTTCCAATCCATGGATGATCTAAGACCTACAGCATGGATGGACACGTTGGAATAGTTCGGATCCGCAAAACTGGATCTGTGGCCACAAATTGTTTCAAATAATTTTCAAATTCCTTCCATCTAACCATGGACCTCCTCTCAATAAATATGTTATTTCTAAAAATATGCGTTATTAAGTTTCATGACATGCCCTCAAATCATCTCCATTAAAAAGTCTCATGAGTTCTGGGTCACTATGCACTTCGAAAGATCTTGCAGTTTGATGATTCTGCACATTTTTCGATAAAGCAACAGCATAAGATATACTTTACATTCTTTATTTTATACATGTTAATTGTATGTTGGTTGATACATTTTAGTAAAGTCTTTCATACTAGTCCATTTGCGTTTTAACATTTCAATATAATTTCGAAGGCCTACATAAGTACTGTTTCTATGGGGAAGCGTTCTTAAACTGAAACACCAGCATAGGCGTAGCCGGGGGGGGGGGGGGGGGGTGCGATGTATGCGATCGTACCCCCTTCCAAAAAAAGCGTCTTGAAGCGTCTTGCTCAATTTTGATGGAAGTTGCATCAATTTTTGTAAAATTCAAAACAAATCTTAAAAAACATTTTTTGGGGGGTTGCTTATGGCACGATCGCATCCCCCTTGACACAGAATTTTTTGGTGATCGCATCCCCCTGACTGAAAGCTGGCTACGCCCCTGCCAGTGCCATGTAACAAAGCGTTGGTCAATAGGCGTTCACAAATGAGGAACGTATTATTATCTCTTGGTTGACAAATACCAATCGAATTGTCAAATATACAAAACGCAAACTCAACAGGCTACAAACAGGAACAAGTAGACATTTTGCGAGGCGCTTTGTTGAATGTCTAAGATAATCCTTTGTGTCATAATCCACAATGGCTTCTTGCGGTGCCCGCCGCCATTTGACAATGTATAAAGTTTGTATCTTTATTTATTCCTAATTTCACTCTATTATCGCCCACAACAATTCTTTGATATTTTGATTCTCTATCCGGTTGAAAAACTTATTAGGGGGGGGGGATGTCGCATGATATGTACACCCCCGTGTGTACATTGTTCACGTATAGTGCATCGTGTTGGTATTGTTCATAGTATGTCACATTATAAATCGTACTTATTATTAACATGTGTCTAATAATAACTATTCTAATATGATACGTGACGTCACTCTGGTTAGAACAATTGATTTATTGGTCTATATTGGAGTATGTATGACCACTAAAATTCTTAAATGCAAGTAGTTGTGTTTCTTGTCTGTTTATCATATTAGAATCTTAACAAAGACCTCGATTTTATGATGTATGTCAAATATATGACCTCAAATGTTACTCTGGCCATTGCCAAAGACCTCAATCGCTACGCGATTTCGGTCTTTTAACAATGAACAGAATAAAATTTTCGGTCATATATTACGCCATAAATCCTAAAATCTCGTTCTTTATTCCTTAAATATTATAACGATAGTATATGGATCTGCAATATATGCATACTAGATATAATACAAGTATCAGATATAGTATAATAATTTGTTATTTATATGTACAATGTCCGTTGATATAACCTCTGCCTTTTATGTACATAAACTCATCCATTTACAATAATGTGTCCTGGCACAAATAATACGTATCAAATATTTTATTGCAAGGTTTCCAAGTAGATAACCTTTTCTGTCTGATCTTACTACGACAACAGGGAATTATTGTCTGATCTTACTACGCCAAAAGGCCACATGGTATTAATGTCTGATCTTACTACGCCCAAATGCCACATGGTATAATGTCTGATCTTACTACGCCCACACTAGGCCACGGGGTATTAATTAATGTCTGATCTTACTACGCCCACGGGGTATTAGTGTCTGATCTTACTACGCCCAAATGCCACATGGTATTAATGTCTGATCTTACTACGCCCACACTAGACCACAGGGTATTAATTAATGTCTGATCTTACTACGCCCACAGGCCACATGGTATTAATGTCTGCTCTTACTACGCCCACAGGCCACATTGTATTAATGTCTGATCTTACTACGTCCACAGGCCACATGGTATTAATATCTGATCTTACTATGCCCACAGGCCACATGGTATTAATGTCTGATCTTACTACACCCACAGGGTGACTTTATATGTAAACGTGTTCAAAAATCGTCACGCTCTTCACACCTTGCAGCATTCTTTATGCATTACATTACTCTATTCAACATACACGTACATGCATTATTTGTGGTCCAAGTGAGAGTCACCATTAATATGTCTAAACACCGAGGGACTTTCGACATAGACTGCCGAATTTGGGCGTCTGTTATCCTTACAACTCTGGAAATAATATTAAATAAACATACTAAGATAAATTAAATTAAATGAACTGTAATCATAAACAAGGCATTAACATGACAAATGTCACCATCAGGCATTTGTTACAGACGCCGATCCCCACGTACCGATTGCCGAACACCGTCCACAAAAAATGGAGACTTTAACAATGTGTCACCGCTCCTGGTGGTGGCATAAAAGTCATGATCAAATCAGTATGATTTTACAAATACAGGGTGACACAAAAAATGGCACCCAGTTATTTTGGAATACATGTAACTTTCTCAAAAATTTAGTAATCTACATGTACTTGATATTTTTGTATAAATAGAATGTTCAATGGATTAAAGATTTTTGTACTTGGATAGCATCAACAACTTTCAGATTTAGAGATATCACATTTTCCGTCCAGGTTTGCTCTCGGTGAAATCTTCACAAATTTTCAAAAAAATAATTTTCTGAAATTGGGACTTCTAAATAATTTTATCGGGGGATTGGTATCGATATGCTGAACTTTTTGAACACACTTTTCTTTTAAACCAGTCGTCAAAAAATTGGAAAATTTTACACATTGTCAATTTAATGGTCATCTTTTGAATGGTAACAATATAATTTGAAAAAATATGTCTAAGAAAACACATCAGACACTTCTTTTGTTCTTGGTACATGTATCACTTGTTCGGGATGGAATTAAACATCTATCCGAACCTCATTGGAACAAAATGACAAAAACACAACATGTTTAGGTCTCTCAATATTGTAATGGTTGGTTGTTTTAAAAAAGTTTCTGTTAATGAACAAAAAGGTTGATCTTAATTTTTATCTAATTTGGGGGGTTTTGTTTTAACTTTTTGAATACTTTTTGTTAAATCAGCCAAAATTTCTTTTGTAGAGGTATAATATTGAAAGGTCTAAGAAAATGTTGTATACTGTATGCTATTTCGTTCCAACATGTCCTTTGATGAACTGACTCGCTTACTAGATAAATTCTAAAGATTTTCCGATGCACAGTTTTGAGTAATTTTGTGTCAGAGCATGCCTCCAAAGAAAATCTCTTAATTTCAAAGTTGTTGATGCTATGCAAGTATATCAATCTTTTCTACATTGAGCACATAAAACATCATGAAGATTCCTTAATTTCTGAGTTATTCCAAAATAGTGGGTGGCATTTTTAGTGTCACACTGTATTTATGACGTGCACGGACCTGGGGACAATTCGGGAAATGCGGGCTTATCTCAGCTTTGAACGTTAATCTCTGCCTTATTTAAAAATCCAACTATGTGTTTTACATATCATTTTGAAGTATTTTTTATTCGCATTTCAATGAAATTATTTTTCCTTCAAAATTTTGATGGGATCCAACACATTTTTAAAGTTAAATATACTCCGACATCGTCCAATACGCTGTAAGACGTAACACTTTACGCTTACAGGGCTCGTGGAAATTGAGATAACTTTTGAAATAATGATCAAAATCCCACTTAAATTTCACAATTTATTCAATGGAACATTTGCATTTATGACGTCACAATTGCTTAACGGCTACATTTCAAATTATCTTATACGAACGCTTTTAAAATTTTCAAAATTGTGTAAGGTTTTGAAGGCGAATGGGACAAGCAACAAGTTTACCTTCATTTAACCTTCTAATTTAGGTCTGATTTCAAAGAAAATTTAACTGCACAATATTGTCATGGCGAAATTTACAAAACAATAACCGGTTTGTTTATTTTGCAAATAATATCAAAATAAGAGCTGGTTTTCGAGACTTGAAAAATGTGACGCATCGATTTTTTACCACAAATTCCATACATATCAATTTTTACTAACGCCCCCAGTGGATTTCTTGACCGTTTTTCAAAATTCAAAAACATATTGTCCTCGAGATCTTGCTACCCTGTAAATTTTGTAATGATTAGATAAGGATAAAGTATTTTATTTTTAGGTTGACTAAACTTGTAAAAAATGTGACGCTTGTCGTTTTTGACGTTGTAAGGCTGTTTGCGCCCTATACTGCTCATTGTTTTGTTTTGTTTTTTGACGCCATAATGTTACGCTAATTGTCCCCAGTTTCGTGCGACGTGTAATTATACTGCTATAAATCTACGCCTATGTTCAATATGTTAATGTTTCAAAGCTAGAGTCATGGTCGTTAAAATTTGTTAGATGAAATACTATAATATGCTTGCCTATGGATTTTATACTCTATTACGGTTTCCTACCAATTTTTGTATCTACATAGTAAAAAATAATTAAGCAAACAAATCTATATTAATTTAAACAACTTAATATCTACAAAAATTACGAAAATGCAAACAGTGTATAAACTAAAACAACTATGCTATATTTGATTTGCGTACAATCGAACCCAAATAAGTGCTATGAAGAGAAAAAATAACAAAGTCGGTTCTTTTATTGGCTAAAACGACTCGCAAATGGACCATTTAATTACAAGTTGTTCCAAAAAATGTGTACCCAAATGAAGCTGGAATGATTATCTTTCTTTCATCTTAAAAGTTGAACATGATAAAGAAAAGTTATTTTTCAATTAGCAGATAAAATTCATAGTTATGAATTATGACTTCCTGAGAAATTTAGGTGCTCTATAGATCACCTTATCATGATCGATGCGGTACCGAATGCTATAAGTTCAAGCATGGAAAATGGGTAATAATCTATTATAATTCATTGTCTGTGGCTCATTATGTCGAAAGACCGAGCCGCAAATAAATGAATTCAAGAATAATCCTTCATCACTTACAGAGTTTTTCGTAGGTGCAACATTGAAATACATGTACGGGTTGTGGTTTACAACAAGCTTTTCTTTACAGCTAAATAAAGTTACCAGGTGAAAAGTAGATGTTTATGAAAAAATTAAATTGTCTCTCAGATGACAGAGTTTCAAGAATATCTTTCTCACTCTCAGAGTTATTTTTTGTTCATCTCGGTACATTTTGGGACATTCTGATAATTGTTTATTCAAATATCTGTTTCAAGAAAGTAAAATGTAGTTTCGGTGGTTGATTTTAAAATATTAAAGATTTAAGAGCAGAAACAGATTTTCCAGGAGCTGGGGCCGGGGTAACCTAATAAATAAAAATGAATTGCTGAAGCAACACGCATGTCACGTGAACGTCTAATCTGTGAACCGTGGAACAAACTCAGCAGACTCTTTCAGGAAGGAAAACTTTTGACGCCATCACCTACTTTTGGTTCTGTCTCCTTCCTAGCACGACGACGTCTTAGGTGAATATATTCGAATATACAGACAACTATTGCAATAAGTATGCCTCCAAGAAGTACGTAGAATATTCCAGAGATATTTTCAATTTGCAAAGATTCTGTTCCCGCCATATTGGAACTTTCAAATTTCTCACATTTAGATGTCGTTTCCCACCACCTGAAATGGTATTTTTATTTTATTTAGTAAACATATTGATGTTGAGACATTTATTTTCGGAATTGCTATTTTCAGTACATTGCAGGATTTTTGCTACCATAAGGTCAAGAGTTTTAGGCGTCTACAGAATAATTAAGTACCAGGCTATAGGATAAGTCACATTGTTGACAGGCCAGTAAGCGAATAAATGTCAAAGTCACTCGAGTCATGATTTCCCATTGAAACGTAAAGAAAGAAGAAATAATATCGATGCTTACTTTGTTTCTAATGTGGAGATGGTTTGATCTTCCTGTAGATGAAGTATAGCAGTCGACAGATCGTCTCTGTACGACGCACGTAATGGGACGCCAATGCCATACCCGCGTCTGTTAAACGGCTTTCCAACAACCAGCGTATCACACTCCTGTGACATTACATACTCCAATATAGGAGTATCAAACAAAAAGGCATAATTGCCTTCCTTTACTTTCGCAATACCTTGCGATGTATTGGCGACTCTCGCCGATGGGGATATCTCTTTCATGTATGCCCACATTTTCTGAAGGTAATCGATATCCGAATTTTTGAAGAACGACTCACAGTAGGTATTTTTCACCGTCCCGTATCCATACTTGCTCTGGGCTGCTAGATCTGCCAGGTTGTTGATCGAAGTGTCAATCTTACTGACAGTCAGGAATGCTGCTAGATTAGCTGTATACGATGATATCAAGATTAATGAGAAAAACCACCAAAACGAAGCTAGAATTCGTCCTGATATAGATTTCGGAAACACCTCTGGTCCAAATCCGACCAATGACGTGTAGGCAAACCAGCTGCTTTCTTTAAGATCAAAACGAGGGTCATCCGGGCTATTGCTGTTGTTGGGGACCTTTTTGTCTAAGATAAACATGACTGCACTAACGACGACAACAGACGTTGCCATGAGCACCCATAGGGTTATAGAAAATGGGGTTATAAACTGAAACATTGACGACGATCTCTCTGGTTTTCGTATTATGATACTGTATGTGAGATCTTTGAAAGGTTTAGTAAAGTCAATAACAATTTCCCGATCTGACGTTATAGAAATAGGAGCCAGGCACATTGCAGCATTCTACAATTGAATATAAAAGACAGTACAATGAAATAAATAAATAATTACAAGTGTATCGACAAGCTTAATAAAACCTAGTAAACATGTTTGCTCAGACAGTTGAATGCTACAATTTGGACCTACATGTATCTGACACTATTGAGACGTGAGTTTGCATGACAAGGAGATATGAAATAAACTATGTGAGCGTGATACATTCATTATTCACCATTTACCAGGAAAATATGTCTAGGACGTCATGTCTACCTCCCAATTAATTCATTTCGTGTTTTACGGAAATTACTTTTTGACATTCAATATACAATCAAAGGTGTCAACTAATTTATTTTTGTCTGCTAATATTGATATTTTAGTGTGGCAATTATCGAGTAAAGAGAGAAAAGAGAGCAACACACCCCATCGATAAGCTCTTTTATCAATCCATTCCAATTTCCCTGGTCGTCTTGAGAGCCATAGTTTCCATCAGGAACCAAATAAAGTTCGTATTCAAACTCTTTATCTTTAATAGATGCCATTTCAGCCAGCATGTCAATAAGGAATCCCTCAAATCTATCATTTCCAATAAGTTGGTCTGCATTCTTTTTCAGCATCACAAACGGCGGTTCCTGGGAAAATAATTTAGTACAATTATATGATTTGTATTGGTAATCAGTTATGTGTATAAATTCAATAATTTTGCTCATGGTTACCTGAATACATGTAGCATTGATGCCTTGTTTGTATCTGTTAATGAAAACACAGAATGAAATCCTATATGCTATACTGTTAGATATTTATTACAATCTGTAACATAAATTAGAAAATCGACCCATTCCTTCTGGGCATAACTAAGCCTAGTTATTCATAATTCAGCTACATTTATCATGAGACAATGGCTTGACTTACAATCAGGGTCACCACTTTAACTTTGCCATATCCCAACGGACGCGCAGGACGACTTCTAGAACGGTTATCATCGTGTTCAATAAAAAGTCGATCTTCTACATCGCCAGATTTATCTGTCCAAGTTCCAATCTGAAATATATATCCATGATCTAGTCTAGTCAAATTTTTTAAAACTCAGCAAATATCCAACATACTTGTAATACAACATTAATAGTTTAGATGAGTTACAGTTAACAGTTTAGCAGACCCACCATCGCAGGCTGCAATCACAAGAAGGTCATCATTAATCAATTCAAGTCCACCGCGGTGACATTTTATAAAACATCACAGAGCAGAAAATACGTTATGATTCAATGTTCAGAACTAAATCGTTTCAACGATAATATCAGAAAAAATGACCATGTAGAAAATTGTACTTCTAGCGACTGGTTGACTGGGCGTGGGCTCAAACGATTGCAAAGGGTAGATATGCAGTTCATTTGGTTCCAAAATACACTGACCTGAATTAGATTTGCCCAATGGTTGGACATATTCAACAATAAAATATATAGCAACTAAAAATTGTTTGAATTGTCATGCGTTTGCGAAATAAATAAGTAAGTAAATAAATAAATAAGTTACATGTATATATACCAACATACCTGACTTAACCCATACTCCTTTAGAGACATGACACTGAGGGCCAAACCAGTACGTCCACCGTTTTTGTTGAATGCAACTGGGCCAGTTGTGCCATTAAAATTGACCTATAATTAAGATATAGGCAAACTAAACAGTATTAGAAAATACATGCATGACATATGGATGTCTATAGCATTTTGGTGGCTTCGAAATGTTATATCTTTCGATATCGATATGTTTTTTTATCAATTATTAAAACTACTATATAGCATATTGTATGTATCCGGAAGTATACCGTTTTAATGGCTGACATGAAACGTTCTTTGTTTATTACACAATTCGTCAGACATTGCTCATTCTCCTCAACTGTACTGTTCCATGCGTTCGAGATTAGAGTCCATGCATCATCAACTACTGCATTCTGGTACCTTGAGTCTATCCTGTTCTTATCAACCAGTTCAAATGTTGTTAGATTGACCAATGTGTATTGGATATCAGTGTAGTTCAAATGGCTGCTAGTCTGTAAATGAAGTGAGTTACTTGGTGTCAAAACTGAATTTCTTGAAGGATTGAATTCAAAACGAAAGATTGCATTGGGATACATCGTACAGATATCCATACTTATTTTAAATGTGTGTATCCTCGATTTAAAACATTGATTCTGTTACTTTGGGAACGATTTAGGAAACAACTTTATCAGACCAGTTGCACCATGGGCTTTCAACTATAGTTGAAAGCCCATGGTTGCACTAAATCTCAATAACTGTTATCGAAAAATGCTCATTTCATTACTTGATAATTCCCACTCAATCATCAATAAATAGAACAGTCATCACAAAATTGAGTACAATTTATTACTTATTTCAATTTTACTTAATATTCCGACTGTAGAAATAACATTATAAATACATATTCCAGCTGTCATTTAACCCAATACACCCAATTACACTCTTTACATCACAGAAATTCATGGTTGAACACACACCGGTCATGTTCTTCACATAAGTTCATGTGCATATATGCTTGGGTTTGTGATGACCTACATGTACATTTGAATAAACGGTTTGTGAAGCGTGCAAAGTTTTAGTTACTTATTTAAGAGCATTTTGGACGTTTGTGACGACCAGCTTTTTGAAGACTTTCGCCACGATTATGTAAGCGCAATAAAAAACAAGCATTTTATGTCATCTTTGCATCAAATAAAAACAAATGAAGACTTACGTGCAATAAAACACGAGGATTTTATGTCATCTTTGCATCAAATAAAAACAAATGAAGACTTACCCACGTCAGCGTCAACCAGGAGTAAGCCTTTGACAGCATACTCAATTTCAAGGCCTGGAAATACAAGAATTGCAATAGTGGACTTCGTCCTCGTAAGATTTTAGACCAGAAAGTGGGCTTTTTTGGTCATAACTGGACCTTCTAAGGCCTTATTTTTTAATTTTAGGCCAAAATTTGGGCCCACTTTTTGGTTTTAGGGGCCCAAATTTTATTTCTGCGCAAGCGTGGAAGTTTTTTTCAGACCAGAAAGTTGCCCCCCACCCTTGTTGGTTCCCAGATTCGCCCCTGCACTATCATGCACGTAATAAAATTAAACACAATGGAGGAAGACCAAATCAAATATTAATCATAGCCTATTAGTTAACGACTGCTTCCGGTCTCACCTGTTTCAGAACTGATTCTAAAATCGAGTCATCTACAACAACAACAATATTGGACTCTTGCTTTGCCCTAAACACAAGTAAGCAGTCTTTAATTGTGGTCTCGGTGGCTGAATCAGTTAACTGGCACGATCTGGCATCCATTTGTTTCATCACCTCACCAAGAAATATCAAACCTAGAACAACATATTATTTCCCTTTCACAATATATTGATATTAATGATACTATTCCTAATAGTGGAATATTTGAAAATGGAAACGTGACAGAACAAAACATGAACGCCTTTTCTAAATAACAGTTTCTCTTGTTCTTTCTAAAACCGATAATGAGTCTTCTATTATTCTGTTAGTTTAGGAATGTTAGACATTTTATTTCAATCGATCTGCAGGTAAGGCGCTAGGTAATTATGATGCAATTTTTCTCATATTCCAAAAGTGCAAAGCCATACCCGTAGACAAGGGTGGTGGTGGGTGGGGGGTGGTGGTCCGAACCCCCCGAAAAGGTTTACAAACCCACGACTATGAGAGTAGTTCGTAAGGACTCTATTTAAAGTCTATGTTATTGTTAGTCCAGGTCTAGAAAAAAATCAAGTCTGGACTTCTAAGAGCAATTGTTATTTTGTTAGAAGACGTTTCGTGTTTTTGAATTAAGAATATAGTAATTCTAAAGATATAACGCTAGTCTATTAATTCCTTTTTACTTTTCTGCTTTCGAATTATATCAAACCGATGCATATTACCCATAAGCTACACTTGTTTTGTATTGTCAAATCTTGTTATTATCAAGCCGTACACACGGAATGATGGTAAGAAACGAGGCGCTATAATGCATATTCCAATTGGCTTTGGGAATAAGAACTTAATAAAGAAGTAATTAATGTCACGTTTTTAATAAGAATCTTACACGTTTGGTCAGCATGACTGATTTTCAATTTTTGATGCTTTATTTTCCCAACGTCAATTTTACAACTACCTCACCGAAACACCCCGACGACGGAAACGTCAGATTCCGCTGTCACAAATGACAGACGTTAGTCACGTTGCTGCCGTGTCCACTCCCTTTGCTTCGTTGTCATCAAATGAGTAACTATCAGCGCTAATTTTGTGCAAGTACGACTTAGCTCTTGTGATGGCGGGTGTCCCGAAAGTATGGGCTCCCCCCTAGGCAGACATATACCAGTGTCGTCATAGTATGTGTCATATATCATTTTAAAGCTTATTCAAAGTTACATTGATTCGCCAAGTATCATGGTTCAACTCCCAGTTGAGAAAAAATTACAGGCATTTCAAAATTTAGTGTTTGGTCAAAATTAAGCTCAATTTTACACCAAATCAATAGTTAATGTGTCCTCCTGGGCCATCTTAACAGCAGCAATTCTTTTCGGGTCGAATGGATATTGAGTTGGAAAAAGATAACGATGAGGGCAGAAACTCTCAGGAAACTCTTCTCAAGTGCCTAAACAGGTTTTAAGAGGGTTATAAAATTCCACACCCCTATTTGAAGGGCTTTAAAGGTCATATCTGAAAATGATTGCTGCTGTTAACATGGCCAAGGGGGGACACATTGACTAGTAATGTGGTGTAAAATTGAACTTTATTTTGACAAAACACTAACTTTTAAAATGACTGTAACTTTTTCCCATTTGAGAGTTAAACCATGATACTTGGCAAATCAATGTAACTTTGGATAACTTGGGATATGTCTGCCTAGGGGGGGGGGGGCATACTTTCGGAACACCCTGTATGTTATATATTTATCTTCAAGTGTGATAGTGAATCGTCACAATAATATGATTTCCTCCAAAATATCAGTCAGCAGATTTCAAAACAGACGAGGATAACGGCAATTGGAAATACATGTTTGTTGTCAATTGCCATAATTTAATCTGTAAATTAAGGACTTTCTCTTGATATTTGAACATATTTAACCCTACTACAAAACACTTTTATTGTGCTCTGTTAGCATGCAATGGAAGAAACTCGAATCGAATGTGACCTTCCGTCCGCCATTTGTGAGAATGGAATCTGACGTTGCCGTTTCTAGGGTGATCCGGTGTGACTATGCTACAAAAAGCATTGCACCCTAGTGGATGGTGGTCTAATAACCTAATGTTCTATAAATAACAGAGAGTTCACCGTGAGAGGGAATTGTGCTATACTTATACAATGTAAGGTCACTCCTCGATCTCTACCAGTATTTTATCTATGTACCTAGTACATTATTTATAAACTATGGAATAAAAAAAAGTAACTACTTATCATGATGTGATCCATGTTAATTGAACAATGACTTTGATTCATAAATGCTGTGTAATAATATTTATTAAGCCTAATGGAAATTGGCGAAAATGAAGAGACGGAAAAGAGGTATTATAAGGACTGTACCTTTTGTTCTGACCCAATGCAAGTAATGATGAATTCGAATGTTACCAGAAAGATTGTAATATTTAGTTGTTGTTTTCAGTGTATTTTCAATGGAGCATATCGACTGCATAATAGGTTAAAGCAGCAATAACCTACAAGTCGTATAGTAAAATGCGATACCAATACTGTATAAGAAACTATATCTAGTCTAGAAGTTATTAGATAAATGGCCACGAAACGTTTTGTTAAAAAATTACAAGGACCATAGATCCAGTTCTGGACCATGCTGCCCAAAATGCAATTAAGTTAGTGACCGAATTTAACTACATGTACACTATTCTTAAATTATACACAATTCTTATCCTTAATGATTTATATGATTCCTCGGTGTTATAGATAATCTATGGATTATTACCCGCATGTTACATTCTTTGCACTATTACAACATTGTGGGGAATCAAGCTAATTTAATAGTTACTTGAATGTATATATTTGCATTCTGAATTAAATATATCAATATTTTATTATTTCCGATTAATTGTTTTAATCCAATTAAGTTTAAGACAGAACTAAAATTATTAATTGTTAGTATATAATTCTACAACTGTTAGAATGCTGAATTCCATATTTGTTGATGTGGATATGGAAAATGATTTGTCATGAGTTTGATCAAAGGTTATATCGACACTTTGCAGTTACACTATGTTTATGACTATCTTAATTTAGTGTTTAAGATTAGGGTAACTATAGTGCTCAAATTGGGGTAGATACATGCACAGTACTATCATAACGAGGATGCATATCGCACGATTGGAATAAGGAATTATGTCCATGAAATCAAAACTTGTGTGTTGTACTCAATATTCGACCATGACACCTACCGTCACTCCCACTATATATAACGGCGACCTTATCCCATTCATACGCTTGCACAACGTCTAATGCTGCGAGCGACATTACACTGAACGAAGGTGATATGTGGACCGTGACAGAAGAAGATATATCCCGGGGATGAGGTCCAACGCTTAAGTATGGGATGCGGATGTCTTCAGCGGCCATCACATACGCAACATTATACGGACCCAAGACGAGTGTTATATTGTCGTTCTGTAAAAGAGTTCTTGCTGGAAAAAATAAGTCTCATTGAAGCATGCAGAAACATTTCGATAATGGTATTAATTTGCCCAAAATGTTCGAAATTCTATTTTGGAAGTATATGATCACAGATTGGTTGGTATTACGAAATTACAACAGAACGCATGGAGGTAGATGTTTTACGTGATATAGTTTACAATCAAATCATTAAGGCTGCGTTTTTGAACTGCCCGCGGTGCAAGTCAACTGCATGATATTTAATGCGTCCCCCCCCCCTAGGTATCACGAAAAAAGAATAATAAGTTCCTGCGCTGAAAATAACATGGTCAAAAGTTTTCAACAAAAATAGCTCATCCAAGCGCATTTTCACCGCTAATTACGATGTGTCAAACTTGTCAGCTAACCGAGTGTGTCAACCGCGTCGGCTAGTTGCTAGTGAACCACAGTGCAATAAACCGTGATGTCTCTCAAAAAGTGTGTTATTGTAATAATTGTGTTATTGTAGATGCGCTTTTTTGTTGAAAACACATGAGCATGTTAATTGCACTGCAGGGCTTATTGTTCTTTTTAGTGATACCTGGGGAGAAAACGTATTAAAATATTACATAATTTACTTGCTTGCACCGCGGGCATACAAAAATACAGCTAAGATTAGGGCTTAAATCCAAGAACACAATTCTCATAATATGGGCATTTTGGCTTATTTACCTTCAATAACGTCAGCAAGAGATGAGTCAACATCTCCCAATGGTATCACGTGTGTATCAACTGCGTTGACAAAGGCCCCGTCATTCTCATGGAGGGAATCAACTTTCGACTGTATGGACTCATGGATATTCACTCCTAGGCCTGTTGTATTCTTCAATGTACCTGTAAATGATTCATGTAAAAATATGTTGCCCTGGTGGTTTAGTTTGATTGTCCCTGATGTACGAAAACAATCACATTAATAATTACTAATTGCATGCAACCTACCCTTTAACATTTGCCTTCCAGAGAGGGCATCACGTGTGTACAATTCATATAGGGCATTTAGTATGTTCCAAATGTACATCGAGACCGATGAGCGAGGGGTCGTGGGTTCGATCCCCACTTGGGTGGACTGACTTTTTCACATCAGTCCTTAGCACAGGATTTCATTCTGTGTTTTTATTAACTGATATTCCAGAGGGCAATTTGGAAAATGCATACATAGATCTGGAGGCATTTTTTATAATCATTAAAGGCATTAAGATTTGATATCCATTGTAATTTGGTGCTTTTGTATTTATCTTTTTGATTCGCGCAATAGCAATTACGGAAAACAATGGCTTGATGATGAAAAATACGGATAGTGGAATATTAAATCAGAAATAAATCACTCAGTTATGACAATCTAATACTCTTCTTCAAACATCAATAAAGTAAATGAGATCAAAAAAGTAATCTCAAAAATGTTTTATGAGCGTTTTGTGTAATATCTTGGTTTTCATGGTATATGTAGCGTGATGCAATAACATTCCGAGGGCGATTTGAATTTACCAGAGCGGAATGCACATAGTAAAAATGACAAATTAATAACGGAATTAAGCAACTGTATTATTTCGGTACTCGCTCAATCGTGTACTTATTTGATACATCCTCATTAACCCGATGTCAATAGTTTAATTGGTGCTTGGGTCCTAGAATAATTCGATTTAATGCAACTAACATGTTAAATGCATGGGCTGGTTTCTTGGATCAACCACAACTGTCAATATTACGTAATCACTAACTCTCAAATAATGATATCTGTTTGTTGTCTGTTTGCAATTAGAATACTATAATCTAACTCAGCCATTCATCATTTTAATAATTAACGTATGTCTGGTGCCTACGTTGCAAAGATGTACCGTGACAATTGAACGATTGTTATTACGAATTGTGCAAAATATTTATACCTTTCTTTTGATTTAAAGTTCACGTCATTTCCAATGCCTCCAAATTTTCCCAATTTTTTTCCTCAATTACAATTGGTCGAAAATTGATGATAAAGATGAATTTTTGAAAATCGACATTTCCATGTTAACCAATGGGAAATGGTAGGTTTGCCGCAAGTCATGTGGCAGAAGATACATCCATCCGAGTCATTGCAAAAATACTAGTTGAGTAGGCAATTGAATTTTCTAACTTTATTTAACAAAAAATTGATACGTTTCTTCAGGTTTAACAAAGTTATAGGTCTTCAAAGTCAAAATTGTTTTTCAAAAATCCCCTCCCATTGAAATAACACAGGAGGCGAAAAATGATTTTCAAGAATGACTTTGAAGCTCTGTAGCTTTGGTTCACCAAGTAAACTAAACACTTAATTAGTGTACAAAAAAGTTAGACAATTCGATTTTCTATATACAAATATTTTTTGCTAAATATTTTATTGAATAGATATCCTGTTTTCTGATTTGCCCCGAACCTGCCATTTCCCATTGGTTTACATGGGAATGACGATTTTCAAAAAATCATCAAAATCATCAATTTTCGACCTATTGTAATTAAGGAAAAAAATTGAGAAAATTTGGAGGTATTGGAAATAAAGTCAGATTACGTTTCCATTAATAGTAGAAGTATTTTTACTGCAGGTTAAGTAAATAAAAATTCAAAAGTAAAGAGGCTTTAACACGTAGTTCAATGGGGGAGCAAAGGTTGCCAAACTTATGGAGGGGAGTGTAACAGCAATTGGATTTTCAGATATTGTCTCATAAGTGTTTCTATTTTCTAACTTCAATGATGCTACAATAATTGGGGCAGGCCGCACATGACAAAACTAAACCAGCCATTATTAAATTATACTAATGTGTTATCAAACTGATCAAGCAAATTGATCCCCCTTGGGTAACACGGAGCTCATGAGTAGTGTAATATGTGACGACAATAGTCTCAATGGAATTGGAAATTTATGACTGCGAAATCCAGACGTTCCATTTTATAAAATAAGGAAGCTCAATGGGGTTCTAGCATGTATAACAAAATTATATACAACACCGTTGCACTTCAAGCCATTCCCATTATAAATTATAAATGACAGGTTTAGAAAAATATGATAATGCATTAGAGCAGGATTAACCGAGTTGTACAAATAATATAATATCTACTATATCTATTATTATTGTTTTCATGATATGATAGTTGCTAATGTACGAAGCTTGGTTCCGATGATTAATGATTTATAATGATGTACTGTAAAAGTTCTTGACAATTGATCTCTGACATTTAGCCAGATACAGTTTATGGTTTATAATGGCTAAACGAAATGAAAGTAGGACCGGTGTCAATGTAAATATAGAACGTACTACATAAAAAATGGTCAGTATCAACGGTCAGTAATGGCAGTAACCTTCGCGAAGGTTACGGCCGTTACCTTCTCTTGATACTGACCAGTGAGATATGGTCCAATAGACTATTAGTCCTAGAAAAATGCCATATCCAATAGTTCGGAACTATATTTAAATCAAGAAAACAAAATCTACATTTAAGTATTCAGGGAGGCTATATCTAATTTGAAACCATCATCAAGCAATTTTCTCTAAAAATGCAAATTAGAAAGAGATCATACTAGTGTACAATACTCTGATAACACATTTTACATTCTAAACTTAGGACTTCAAACATAAGGTCAATATACTTAATGGGAGAATGTCCTTTTCAAGAGGAGTAGAATCCATATACCAGATAGCGGGGGCCATTACCCTGGCAATATAATTTTCTAAGATAATAGGTCAGGGATGGTTGAAAAAGAAGGAAACCATATTCCGTCTTACAAAAGAAAAAATTGGAAATAAGAAACGTTAATTCTTATTGAAAATACTGATTATTTTGGAAAGTCAAATTACCGTCATTTCAATTGAGTATAAGCATATTTGTTACTTAAAAAAGTAAAATCAAGTAAATCAAGTATAAACTACAGGTAGTGTTAAACATGTTTGTCCATTTCACAGTTTACAAATGGTTTATGAAAATTTCAGATATAGATCACAAATGAAGGATGCCAGAAATACCCATTCTGATTTATCGGAGTCTCTATTTATCTAAAGCTTGGGAGAGACTCTGATTTATCATGAGATAAGCCAATGCATTCTCCAGGTAAATAAGTAGAATACACGTCTATTGCAAGGGATAGTAGAGGGACTGTGGATCCAAAAATGAGAGGAGCCAGTTACGAAAACTCAAGTATCCGGGTTGTCATTTGAAATTGCATAAACACAATAAAGAACATAAACTGAAGAGACAAGCCATATCATCCTTTACTGCCCCGTGCACATGCGACAGAGGTCGAAAGCAAAATGTCACCCTCCTATGTTTTAAAGCCATTTGTATGTGGTATTGAAATCATCGAGTAAGAAGTTTTCTAACTTATTATGTTACCATCTTAAGAGGTGATATATTGTCATAGTCTCAAACTTTTTTGTGGACAGTGTTCGGCTTCTGGCGATCGGCGTCTGTTACAAATGACAGGTGGTGACATTTTTGCATGTTAATGCCTTGTTATGTCTGGCAAATGCTACATAAATCGTCGATATATGAAGCCTTTATTTTTAATCATAGCACGTATTCGCAAATTGTTGTCCATTCCTTTTGTTGTTATTTGTATAGTCATACTGACTGTGATTATTTTTGGATGGTTGAAAACTCAAAATAAGAGCACCAATTCGTATACACTTATGATAGAAAAAATTTCAACTTAACAGTCATGATAACTAAAAAACTGCTTTGGATTCCCTACTTCGTAGAGCTTTGAGTCTTAACAGCAATTTAATACCAGTCGCTTCTAAATAACACCAGCATGGGTCTCACCTGGCACGTTGTAAGTTCAGTGTTCAATCAGTACAATTCTTAAATCTGGTACAAAGTGTATCAAACATTTTCAAGGTGTCTCAGGTATTACCTCACCAAATATATGATGCTGCATTTTCATAATTGCCGGATTCGATGCTTTAAAAAATCAAGATTATTAAATACAGTACTTGCGAAATTGAAAAGGCCAATCCATCACAATAAGTCGGTCAATAGACTACTTGCCAACATTAGTTCAGTCCCTGATCTAATTGTATTGGATCCCTCATTACCACTTGTAAGCAATATTTTACAAATACACTTGTAACATATTTACTTTGGGTACATGGCGGATGTGCTTTTTTATCATCAGATTAAGACAATTGTAATGTCCATGCCTATTTTGTACAAGTTCATACATTCATAAATCGATCATTTCAATTCCAAGTTCAGTTCAGTAAAAACAATTTTGGTAGATATCTATGTAATATTATTCTACAAGACTACATATTACAGAACTAAATACATGTATTAAGCATCATACGTACCAATATTGAGTTTATATTTTGCAAAGACAGATTTACTGAGGAAAAGTATCCATAATGTCAACCATAACCGAGCAGTCCACGTTAGCCTCTTCATGGTCCTTTTGTTTCTAGCATTATATCCGTTCGTAGTTTTAAGGCGTCGACGTGGTTCGCATGATTTTACTATCTTCTCTGCGTAGTTTTCGCTGACGTCAATGAAGTCCCTCTAGGCTCATCTCAAGAATGAAACTTATTACAATAATATAAACAATATCGACGATTTTTAGCATTAATATTAACTATTGTAGTATACTATTACGGCACTAATAGACGATCTGAAATGAAAGTACCAGTGAAGTGTTCTCAGCTAAATGATTCGATTGATTCACACTAGATCCGCATTTATACCAACCTATAATTGAAGCAATTCCGACGCTCTGTGTCGGAGTAGCCTAGCCTATATTTCCGATGCCAAATCGATGTATCAGAGTTCGGCACCTTTTTGTGAACACGGACATGAATAACTGCAATTATGGGTGGTAAAAGATGTCAAAAACATAATAATTCCATATTTTATATATTTTTTTATATACTCTAAGATTGAGTGTTCGATCAACCTTGGTGCCGAATATACAATTTAAGTCCGTATGGACGATCTCGTTAGTTAGATGCAGTTTGAGGGAACAGACTATTCATACTCTTGTTAATTAATTTACAGTTCTCATTTAAACAAATGGTGGAATAATAGTCAAAAGATAAAAATGCTTTCTTTAATATTGATAGGCCAAAAATTGCATTACTTTATAAGTTAAGGATAGTCCATTGTATGGCTCATAGATATTACGAATCCGTGGCATAATATATGCGACATTTGCGACATATATATGCGACATTTGAACCGATATTTAGGGAGGGGCATATGTCCTAATGCTTTTAAAATGCCGTTTGCTGTAAATACTTAGGGCTTTCGGGTCGAATTATGCATGTCATCACAAGAGGTCAAAAAACGTAAAAGTTTTCATTTGCATTTCAGTGCATTTTATGAGACTAAAGTTGTAAATCGAAACTTATATACAATGTAAAGGATTATCATTACATAAAATATATTTTTATTTTAACGTAAATTTCATTTTTCAATTAGGGCATTACACAAGGGTACTTTTCAACATTTTATTATTTAAAAAAATAAGACAGAGCAGATGTGACAAAATTATGCGAAATATTCAGAAAATTTATAAATAGTAACACATTCGTTTTGTACTTATAGAAACATTATATTCACGATTATTTTTACTTCCGTTTCCAAGGGTCAAAAAACGAATTATTTTGTATAATATATAAAACTTAATCAAATAAAAATATGAAGGATATATCATTTAATTAATTTAATTTTGGTAGTGGAATGTTTACATTTTAAACTAAATGACTTACATTGAGGAATAATTAGGCAGGCGCAGTCAAACGCCTCGCAAATATTATGGTGTCAAAATGATATGCCCGCGACAATAAAATCATGTAATTTTCTAAAAATTCAATGCAGTTTTAGGTATCGATTTTATAAGTCAGGACGCTATATTGATAATCATATAGCACCGTTATGTTTGAATTAAGGAATGAAGAATCATGTATCGTTCTATATTGGAAATATAAAAGCATGAGTGTGTGTACTAACCCATCTACATAATGCAGTATTACTACAAAGCTGGTCAATTTTTTCAAAGGTGCACGTAAGATATGGCAAGCCATTTTCAAAGGGCTATATCTATAGTTCGAAGAATACTTTAACCACAAAAACAAAAGGTTCTATTAGATCCATGTCTTGTCTTCAATAAATGACAGTAGGATGATAATCAAGTTGAATGGATTATCTCTTAAGCTGTTCCTAATCCAACCATCTTCACCAAATTTTCCCTAATTCGGACGCAATTTTCACCAAAAATGCAGCATTTTATTTCAGCTTTTATGGCAAAATTACAATTTATTGCAAGGAATGATCTACCTCTAAAAAGGAAAACTTGATTACTTTGGGATTAGGATAATCCAAAAACAATAACTTTTTTAGGCCGAATTTTTGACCTAAAAGTAGCAATTTTTTAATGAGATTAATGCACGAAAACATTGAGCTATGTCACATGATTGATTTCCAAAAAAGAAAAAAATGATCTAAATGAGATAAGCATTATCTGATAATCCATTTGTCATTTTTACCTCATAGGCCATGACCTTAGTGTGAAGTGTATGAAAAGATGTCACTTAGAGCGACATTTAGATGTACCCTATTTTATGCAATGATGTTTATAGATAGAGTTATATATGTTCCATAGATGGCATGATATATTCTACATAGGTGAGTGCTTAATACCCTGAGTGTGTATTCATTGTTGCATAATTGCGTATTATAGAAATGAGCATGCATGGATATGTCAACATGACTGTGTCGTGTAAAGTATGTTCAGTAAAACATAAATGTGTTTATATGCACACTAGTATCTTGTTGACCTATATTCAGCACTGTATTGATGTATAGGCCACTTATTAGGGTCATAATTCAATCATGAAGTGTAGAGGCATAGATTCCAAACCAAGAAGTATTTTTATGTCTGTCAAAATCCATTTGCATCCTAAGCATCCCTACATCTTATCCACATATGTTACTACATAATGAAACATAATAGTATATTCTTTGGTTTTACAAAGTTGTATGATTTTTGATAAGTGTAAAAGTTGTTTTTGGAGCATATTTCTGTAGCCATTTTGTAGGGAAAAAAAAGATGAAAAAATGCACAATCATTTAATTTTAAGTATGACCTGAATCGATTGCAAACTTCATATTTGAACATTTGATGAGATAAATCATTTGTGTCATATTATGAAATTATTAAGGTTGCAGTCGAACCTTACTGAACTAAATGGCCCCTATCGCAGCCTATATGTGCCCGAGCACTTTAATATTTTCCAAAGAGTTATAACATTCTATTCTTCATGTTACACCTAAGAATTATTTATTTTGACCATGGGGATATTATTTGCCAATAAACGCGCCTGTTCTTTTTATTGGATTGTTTTTGCTGCTTGGGATTTTTATGGAATAAACAGTTTAATGCTATGGGTTTTACTCTTTGACAATAGGTGTATTGCCTTGTGTAATTATGATATTGTCACTCGATCACTCTATTCCCTCAGTCAATACCTCGGGCTTTGCATGAAAAACCTTATACCTCGTACCCACGTACCCGCGTACTTGGGGCATGATATATTCTTTGAAGAGTTTAATTCTAACGTTTCAGATTATTCAGATTATATGAATTGTTGGTGCATTAATGCACTTGTAGACCTACATGTTCGAATGGCGCTATTTTGACAATCAATGAAAAATTAAAATTAACAATTCTGGCTTTATTTTATGACTCTATATCTATCTATCTTTGACTAGATGAATTTCACATCTATGGATACTATGAATGTATTTATACCTCAGATAGCATTAGATTGAATAATCTTTTAGAACTTTAAAAATTGAACCCTTCAAAACTGTATCACCACCCCTGAACATGGGTATGAGATACGAATGTCACCACCTTGTAGTTTAAGTCAAATCCTGAAATGAAAAGGTTAGTTGAAGCAAGTTGAAAAATGCCTTTTTAAACTTTTTGAACTTGAGAGGTCAAATGTCAAATCAAAAGTCAGATTTGACTTCTGAGAACTTGTAGGTGATTTTGAAAATTCGGTCAATTTGAAGCGAGTTGAAAAATACCTTTTAGACCCTCTTTACTTTGAGGTCATTGGCGGTCAATAATTGTAAAATCTAAAGTCAGATTTGAATTTTTGAGACCCTGACGATCATTTTGAAAAAATGATCAATTTGAAGACTTGTTCACCTTCAAGAATGTACAGTAGTAAGAAAGAGGAGTGCATTCTTGTTATATTGTTTTTGAAGAATGGACACTGTAAGCTATCTAAAACCAGTGTGGCACAAAATATGATTGACAGTGTTCGGCTCAATATTACACCTTGACTGTCACATGCAGTGCACCAAAGCTGTACTTATTAAACCACTTTCAATCACTCAATAGTTGAATTGTAAACACAAAATAAATACACTTTTTAACTGTACCTTGCCTGATACATGCGGTGCATTGAAGCTGAACCAATTAAAACAACCCACTAGTTAATACAAAATAATTTTTCTAAACTTGGATCATGGGTCATTTACCCTTCCTAAGAGTCAGTGTGGGTTTTAAGTTAGATAAATTATTCGAAATGGGTCTTATGAGAACTAATAGCCTCAGACCAAGCCCCTTTGCTATTATTTCTCATAAAACCCAGTACTCATAGTTTATCCATAACTGAATGAACGATTAGAGGATTCAGTGACCTTCTATAAAATTACAAACTGAACATGTTGCTATACCTAAGACGACTACCTGGTTGTTATTCACTAAAAGGGGTCTCATTATAGCACGCGGTAGTATCTCTTCGGGACGTATCGAAACCACTCCGTCCCGAAAAACCGTTAATTTGAATTTAAAACCTACCCCAGTGTTTGAAAATCAAGGATTGTGAGTCTCACACTTCACCGTTTTTCTTCAAACTTGTTCCGTACAAAGCTTCACAGAAATACCTTTCAGTCGATACATTGTTTTCGTGTACAAAGTACCTCGTTTTAGCGGCGTTTTGGTCCCCAGATGCGAGATAAAGCAAATTTTCATAACTTTCAACTGTAAGTCAAGTTATCTCGCCAGTCTTTTACCCATTCTCGCTCATAATTTCAGAATGGACTCCCATTACAACCTTCCATCGCTACGTTTTGATTTTTGGGCATCAAACGCAGCAGTTTCTAAATCATCCACACATCTCTTAAAATTTGACTAATACGTCCCGTTAGAATGCAACTCTACGTGTATAGTGATAGACTCGGCGGGGCGTAGTGGAAGATGACGGGACGTATTGGTCAAATTTGAAGAGATGTGTGGATGATTTAGAAACTGCTGCGTTTGATGCCCAAAAATCAAGACGTAGCGATGGAAGGTTGTAATGGGAGTCCATTCTGAAATTATGGGCGAGAATGGGTAAAAGACTGGCGAGATAACTTAACTTACAGTTGAAAGTTATGAAAATTTGCTTTATCTCACAGCTGGGGACCAAAACGCCGCTAAAACGAGGTACTTTGTACACGAAAACAATGTATCGACTGAAAGGTATTTCTGTGAAGCTTTGTACGGAACAAGTTTGAAGAAAAACGGTGAAGTGTGAGACTCACAATCCTTGATTTT